CACACAATCCAGTCCTTAAAGTCTGGGTGGAGATGGCAAAGCCGGGGTCAAAATACTAATCACTGAACAACATGCACGCTTTTTCAAAGATGACTTTGATCTTCCTTGAACAAATGTTTCTTCTAAATTAAGTTGCATTTCAAGATTATTTGTTTATAATTGTGATTTTCTTTTTTTTTTGAGGAAAAATGAATTTGAAACATGGAACTCCTCCTCCTGGGCTGCTGCCTGTGTGTCTTAGAATAATTAAAAAAAAACCCACATGACCCGATTAAGCCGCTCTAATCATCACACTATCTTCCCCACTCTCTGCCCAATACTTACACCCTGTGTCCAGCATATGAACTACACCATCTTCCTCAAAGATTGGATCAGTTTGTTTCAAGAGACAAAACCACAAGAAAATTAAAACCTCTTTTGATTTTTTTTATTATATCAAAATACAAAAATTTGAGAGGAAAATTTTGTATGGGACTAAGCATTTGAAATGATATGGTGACATGAATACACTACTTTCATATTCTCACAGACATGCCATAGATAGAGCATAGATCATGTGCTAGGCCCATGTCTACGTCATGATGAGCTACCAGGAGTGAGCCTGTGCGTTTTCCCTATAAAGGCTTGAGATGGCGACTGTCACTATATCTAGGCCAGTTGGTAACAGGCCAGAGTGTTTTTACATCATAGTTCATTCTGTTTTTACTCAATAAAGAAACGAGATCCATGGCAGTTGAACATGAAGAGTGAGAAAGACATGATCTCAGACGATACAGAATTCACTGGACAGCAGTGGCAAAACGAGAGGAAAGTAATACAAATATTATACATAAGGCTTTGGTACAGCACCATACAGTATGAGTTAATTGCTCACAAAAAGTTAAGTGAAGCGTATTACCTGATGTAGTGAGAGAACAGAATGACAAGTCTAAAAAACTGACAAATAAAGAGAAACATCAGGTTATCAGTTTAAAACAGAGTAAAGTAAAAAATGTTTTTGCTTTGAAATATTTACATATGAACATTGTTGAATACATGTTTCAACTTAAAGAAGGACATTATGGAAACATTATGCACAAAAAAATCCAGAATAAACAACATATAATACAGAATGTAAACATGTGATGTACAGCACAGAGTTCAGTGGATGAAAATGAAATGAAATGTAGTAAATTTTCTTCCTTTTAAGCACTACTTGGTTTGCTTGAGTATGAGCATTAGCTAAAACAGTCAGCGATGTAGTGCTTATTGTAGCCTACGATAATAATACATTCTAGTTTCTCAGTGCTGGTACACATGAAAAAACAGAGAATATAGAAAATACTACATATTTCTATTTTCCGTCCAATAACAACCAGCTCGGATGTCCATGAATGATTGCTAAATAGGCGTTTTTGTATTGTCTCTACATGCAAGATTAATACAATAAAAAATCAAATTGGTTCTAAGTATCATCCTACCAGCACCTAGTGATGCACTAAAAGCTGTAAGCAGAAAAATTGGAAAAAACAAAATAAAAAAAACAAACAAAGTAAAACGAAAAAACAAACGGAGCTAACAGTACGTCCAAAGCAGCCCTCTTAAACACTGTACATGTTTCTGTTGAATATGCAAAAAAGCCCGGAAGACGACATCCATTCATAAAACCCCATGGAGAGCTGTTGAGCTTTGTATCAGCTCTTCCCAATACCTTTCTACCAGGAGAATCAGCAGTAAATACAAATGTGGTCTGGTGACTAGTCATGGCTATACTGTACAGTACTAGTAGGAATTCTTCCGTCAAAAAGGGTGGTGGGATGACGTGAGACGGTTACGCCCCTGCAGTAGTGTGCTTGAAAAACAGTGCTGTTAACCAAAGATTGTAGACCTACAGGAAGTGTGTAGAAAAGATCCCCTCATGACCTGACGATGCTCTCAGATTCCCTCCCGTGTATCCTGTGGTGTGTACTAATCTAAATCAGGTTATGTTTCTCCTTTTAGGCTGGGTTAATATTCTCAATATCATCACAAATATACTTTAGAGAGGGTACCTTGGAAGCACGGACAGACATTGCAAACACACTATAGAAAACAGGTCATCTTGAGTTCAGTTGAATGTCACAAGTCTCTATTATTTGCGGTTATACTACTATTTTCCATTATTGTCTATCACTGTCATCACACCATGATACTGTTATGATAAGGACCTATAGTGTCTACCGGAGCTAGTTTAGTTGCTCAAACACACAGGGCCGAAAGAGTCGCTTGTGGAAACAGGAAACGAAAAAATCTTTAGACCTCTATTCTACAGCACCACAAAGTTAAACATAGCACCAAGTCGTAACGTTCAAAGCAACTATGCCCTAACACACTTTTTCTTTATCAAACTAATGTAAACACAATTTCCTCCACAGCACGTATTGTACATGACTATAGCATGTCTGTGACTCTTAGAAAAAAGTTTCCTTCAGTTTATTTGCTTTGGACACCTGAAGGCGAAGAGATCTGGAGTGAATCTACATGTGTGCTCATGAACGGGCAAAATACAGTATTACTTTGTTCCAGAAATATTATAGAGGGCAACACACTTCTGCTTCTAAAGCTTTTTCCAATGGGCATTCACGTACTATACATCAGAGAAAATACTACTCAACTTGTGCAGCCAGCGGGCTATGGCAATAATACATTGTACGGTACTAACATTAAGGTTTCTTTTCTTCTCAGATAAAATAATGTCTGCTAAAGTATGACAAATGAGGCACCTTAAAATGTTTTAAAAACATTATCCACTTAAAGCCGTACTGTAAGCAAATATTTTTATATATAATCTAATTTCTTTTACCTTGGGATCCTTCCCGTCTTTTCATTCACCCTCATACAAGAACGTCTTCCTGTAAAACATGGTTTGATTTATCTTTACAAATACAATACACACCATGTACAGTACATAACAAATATAGATTTTTTTTCCTCGTATCTTACACGAAACCAATTTGTTAAAGTAGAATATGCACTTTGACGCTCACTTTCAGGCAATCATCACTTTCTCACTTGTCAAGAGTTTTCAGTAAGCAGACATTGAGTCGATTCATTCATTGTGGATATTTGTCGGAAAAACCTCTGATTCGTCGGTAGCAGATGGAAATCTATCTGATATGTCTTTGAATGATTGAACTAGCTTTAGCAATACAAGGAAAACGGTTGTTTTTGTAGCCGTCAGAGCAAAAGGAGCTTGGCTGAGAACCTGTGTGGGGCCCACCAGTTATTTTCGCATACAGGAAAAACACAGAGAAGTAAAACAATTTGGACTTAATGTGCCAACTGGTCATCCCACCAGTCACAGCTGCACTTTTTAACAACGTAATGGGTCATTCAATGTACTGTGACATCGGGACATTCATTTCCTGTACAGCAAAACATACATTCATTATCGGTTAGTGTTGAAAAATTAACAAACATACAGAGAAGTAGCTAGCAAGTAATATACAGTTTTTAAAGATAAACAGTCAGGGTGGCCATTCTTTGAATATTTCCCATTGCTTGTTAACAGCTTTATGAAGCAATCACATTCTTCTCTTAACAGCTGCTGTTAAACATTAACATCGTTACTGTTCTGGTTTGTTCTTCCTGCATGAAAACTCATGTACTTTTCCACTGAAATTGTATTTATTGATTTATTTGCCTTTTATTAATCTAAACTTGTGTATTTTTTTTGTTTTTATGGGTATTCTGGTTCTGTCCTATTACTTGGATATACACAGTTGAAGCAGGTACCCATTTAAAAACATAAAAAAAATGTTTTAAAAAAACAAACAAACAAACAAACAAAAAAAACAAGAATTATGCATCTTCTGTAGCATATTCTCCTGTCCTTGGCAGAGAAAGTAAAAACACACGTAACATTGGAGTCCCTCACTCCCCCCGAAAAGACAAATATGAGAAGGCGAAGGAAAAGGCAGTTTATGTTAGAAAAAACAAGAGAGAAAAAAGGCAAAAAAAAGGCACCACGAGACGTGCCACATTTCACAAATGATTCCTTAATAATGAAATACATACTACAGTACACTTCACAATTCATCACCCTGTTCTTCTCATCCTACAAGTCCAACCTCTGTTGAGCGTGTAAGTCCCAAATTATTTTGAGAGTTCTCATGAAGGCTATGATCTTTGTCTTAATGCAGTGCTGTAATGATGAGTGCGAACACACTGAGCCATCACGCACTAAAATTAAGACACTGACGCCTAATGGTTGGCATTAGATCATAAATCAAAATAAACACAATATGCCAGCTATTACTGATAATAAAAAGCTTCTAAATTAGATCAAGTTAGGCCATATTATCCATTTGAATGAGCATGGTGTGTGATATAAACCTTTTTATCCATACGTTTCATATGTAAAAAGGTCAAGCACGTACAGTATACCACAAGAATTACAGCAATTCTGCGTTTTACTCTGAGGTATATTTTGTGGTAAGAACCCTGTGTTTAAATACTGACACTATTTGTATTGTAGGAAAGGTAGACTCATGTCCCTGTCCGAGGACGCACCAGGCTTAACAGTACACTGTATCACTGAAAAACCTAAAGATATGGACCCCTCAATGACCAGTGAGTGAAAAATCTTTAACGTGTTGTCACATACTCAACCAACACATTTTTATTACTGTAGGAGGAAGCTTAATTCCCTTGTTTTACTATTTATATACATTATTTATTTTCAGAGCATTTTCAAGTGAAATTCCTCAGAGACAAGTAGTGGTGACAACTCAGAAAAGCCATTGTTCTTGTCTTCAAATTTTTCCAACCCCGGAGTATTCAGCTTGATGTTTCCCGCTCCACAAACACCGATGAACTTTTTAGAGATTATAAGAAATGTATTAGCTTGATACAGAGACCGGGATGGAGCAGGGAGGGCTGAGGTGTGTGTTTTTTTTGTTTAGTTTTTTTTTTTTTTTTTTTTTTTTTTTTTTCTTCTACGTGTGAGGGGGAGGGTCAGTTTCGACGAGTCCAATGGCTTGGTGGGCACATGGGTCAGCGTAGAGTCCCATAATTTGGGCCCTCAGAGTCTGCACTGGCCAGGATGCCTGTCTGGTCCTCCTCAGACTGCCTGCGGTGCAGGAAGGAGGTCAAATAGAGATAGGGGTTCTTCTTGTTTTGCCTTTTCCTCTTTCTGTGGAAGTTGAGATTCTCTCCCTCTTGGGGTGTCTGAGATTGCTGCTGGGTCTGAGAGGGACACACACCTGAAAGGGAAGCAGGGAGAACCCCAGGAGTGACACATGACCCACATATTTTTAATATTAACTTTGTGTTCCTTCTTTCTAATCGCCAGACTAACCTGTTCTCCGTCCGGAGGTTGTGTTGTTATTGTTGTTGGCGGCCACTCCCTTGGCTTTAGTAATACAGTGGTGTAGCAGTGCTGGTAAGCTCTCAGACCCGGCAGGATCACTAGACGCACCTAGAGGTTCCCTGAGAAGAGGAGAGACAGCACAGCACACATTGTTCTGCATTAATCCAACAGTCGTGTTCAGTCCCGTCTCAGAGTGAAAGGACAGAATGGCACTTTCATTGCTATTTCCAGTAGGTGCTATCATATGATTTGATGAGCTCTTGTACTTCTACTGAGAGCCCTTTCACTAAGATGATGAATTTCCACTGTCTATCTGCGTTGATGGATGATAAAAGTTAGACACAAAGAAAGAAAGAGGGAAAGAAAGAAAAAGAAAAGAGAAAGTGAAAGAAAGAAAGAAAGAAAGAATAGTTGACATATGGATTTGGTGAAATTATCGGCTATAAGTTTGTTCTCAAACAATCACTACATTAAAGACCCAGTCCAGGATTCATAAAGATTATGGCAATGCAAACTACATATTTATTCTTAAAGGGTATTTGTTAGTGATACAAAATCACTCAGTCCACGAATTATAGGTGCCATAATTGTTATTTAAAATCAGGGACATTCTGTAATCTTAGCAACAGTGTAAAAAAAATTCAAATTCAGACAATAATTGCAACTAATGTGCTCATTCAGGTTTGGGTCTTTAAATAGTGACCGCTTCAGAAATGCAGGCAATATTGGTCTCTTTGCTGTATAAAACTCATAAAATGAAAATAATTTCTGGAACTGTAAATTACTGTTCCTGTTACAATGACGAGTAGATTTTCTTTTCAAATCCTCCAATACATTGTTTCATAGTTTACACCAGGTCAGGAGTCAGCAACATATGACACACTAAGCCGTTTTTAAAAGCATGTGAGAGCGTAAATACTACACTACAATATAGATATATCTCGCTGTTTTGTTAAATACTACATTAGCATTGTCCCATAACTACAAGTTTGTAAATTGGGTTAATGACAAAGGAGATTACAACAGCATGATGAATTAATGTTGACAAGATAACATGTCAAATCTGAATTTAAAAAAAAATGCATTTTGAGTCATACTGAGTCATCCCAGAGCTGCAGGTGCTGTAACCAGTAACCACTTGACAAAGAGGAGACCACACTGCATCTATGTGCACAAGACATGGCGAGCAAAGTGAGCACGCCGTTTGGGTTTGTTGCTGTGTGTGCATCTTGCTGTGAAAATGTGGCATGTTGAACGTAAAGCGCCTTTCTAAAAGCATAAGAAAAACTTCAAAGAAGAGTCTGATAAAGTGGAGTCAGTCAAGAGGGCAGTGTCAAAATATGCAACGCAAAGTGGCTCGTTTACAGCACATCAGTCTACAGAGGGCAGCTATAAAATTTCAGAGTGCATTGATAGATGTGGGAAACCATTCAGAGACATAATTCATAAAGGAGGCTTCCCTCAGCAGTGGTTTTGTTTGATGGACTGCCGAGTAAGGACACCATCATATCCAGAATTACAGATTTGCCTCTGTCTGCAGAACTGTTGAGAGGCACATTACTGAAATACTGAGAACCAGACATAGTGCGACTGAGCAGCGAAAGGCAGGGACGGGGATCGCAGTAATCGCCAGTTTACATTTTACTAGCCTACATCATAACAAGGTATTGAGATAGGGGCTCTTGTGCAAATAATAAGCTTATCAAACTTCCTCTAATAGTGTAACTGTCCATCAGCTATAATAAACTACAGGTGACTTAACAAATGCTGCTGCCACATCTTCATCTTTGTAAACTGACACTCATCACATCACAAGGTTGCTGACCCCTGCAAAAGGTGCATGAGCATTTCTCTGACTGGTTGTTCAGTTTGATCATAACACGTGTTTCGAAACAGAAAATAAACAGGAATCTGTTCCTGAAACCTGAAGAACTATTTTCATTTCATGAGTGATACATGCTACAGTAAGTTGAATGAAAAATAATCAATGTTTAATCAGCAAAACAATAATCACATCAAGTTAATCACTTCACTTTCATAGTATGCAGTATGTTTTAGAAGTAGTTTCACCTCATACCGAATACTCTGGTTTTGTTGTCCATCTCTCATAGAAATATGCAATAAAGTCAAATAAAATCCAAATAACCTCACAAACTCAACATTTAAGTTTGGTGAGGTTCATGAGGCTCAATGTTGGCTCAATGTCTTTGCCTTTCAAAGAACTGAATACAAACAGCTTCAAAACCTGACTTAATGCTGTCATTAAGCCAAGTTGTTGTGCCAAACATGTATTGTTTCAAAAGGCATAGGAACACAAAGCTTTAGAGATGCTGTCCATCATATGTCACTGTGGAGAGAGAGATTGAGAGCCATTAGCAGAGAGGGTGAGACAAATCTGAGAATTGCAACAGTCCTGGACAGATAGAGAACACTTCCATTATCACATGAACTGTGTGCAGAGGCCACAGTGTGTTAAAATATAGTACATTTCCATAGACATAAACACTGTACAGCACACTTTCATAAACATGAACACTGCGTACAGAGGCTTCACCATGCTGACGGGAGGAGATGGCAGGAAGAGGAAATGGCCGTTAAAGAACAAGTCACATGACAGGAAGAGGAAATGGCCATTAAAAACAGTCACATGACAGAAAAACGAAAGCACTTAGGACAACAAATGTGACAAAGAATTTAGTTTGAGAATTGTTGTTATTTGTTTGGTCATAGAGAGAAGTTTAGAGAATGCATGCATGGCATTTTGCACATGGAACAAAACTTTAAAGGGGAATACTCCAGTCTATCATTCATGTGCGTCCTCTATTGATTCAAGGCTTTTTTTGGTGCAGGGAAACATGTCTGTATTCAAACAATCAAAAGACAAAATCAAATGCTTCTCCACAGTCCAAAACCGCTCCTCGTGCTTGCTCACAAGCCTAATTACTGTAGCCTACGCCACAGCATAGCAGGCTTACTGTGCCTTGGAAGTGTATTGACAAATGTGTCCTGCAGTCATTATTACCATTAGTTGTACTTCACTTGAATCCAGCACAGAGGCACAACCCAAAGCGATTCCCCTTTAAAGGAGAGAGTGATTAGAGCCCTCCCCCTGCTGACCCCTCCCCTCTCAGACATGGGTCCGACCCTTACCTATTGCGGCGTAGGGGACCGGGTCACAACAACGCTGCCCAGATAGCTGAGATCAATCAAAAACAAATCAGGTAAGACCCTTACCCTCTATAAAGCAGCAGCCCTATAAGCTACTTTCCCTTAAAGGCCAGTGATAGTGCAGGAGCAAGTCTCTGCCTCATGGCTTTAGCTACTGTATCATTGTAGCTTCTAGGGTTGTGAGGTGGGTGTGAGGGGGCACAGGAGTGTGTGCAGTATAGAAATACTAAGGGGCATAAAAGTATATGAACCTCAGCTACTTTTTTATGTTAGCTTTCCTACGTTATGTCTAGAACAGGGACACTGATCTATCAAAATGTTGGACATATTAGGAAAAATCCCTTCTAGTGGTATATAATTACTGTGTGGTGTTCCCTCATTCTCAGTGAATTTTTTGTCTTTATGGTTACCACTTTCTTAATAATGTACCTTTTATAAGGGGTTTAAAAGTTGTAACTAATTCATCTGATAACTAATTATGTTATTAATTGAATGATTGAAAAATCCTTTACTTTTGCTTTACAGGACAGTTACAAGCCATTAAAAACAACTATGTTGCCAGGTTGTGGCTGGCTTTTTACCCTCTCCAGCATGACACTTGATTTAATTCATCAGGAAGACCCCTCCAATGGATCGTTAGGCGTTTGACCTACTTGAAAAGGTCTGCAGACCATCTGGGTCAAAATGTTTTTAATTAACAATTTATCATTATTTACAATAACAGACCTGGTTTTTTTATAATAACCATCTATTACTGACATATTAACAGAATCAATACTGTAATAATACAGATGTCTTGCCAGCTTTTACTGTTGACTTATTAGAAAGTGAGAAACTCTTGACCCTTTATTAATGGTTTATCAGAAATCTTAACAGCAGAACTGATGGTTTGTTACCCTTTATAATGACCCTTTATAAAGCATTTATAAGCTGTAACTAATGGCTTTATTAAAGGTCGATAAATTGTCAACTAATGGTTTATGGAACTGTTATAAGCTACAAATGAAAACAAGTTTTTGTTTACCAAGTTGTGAAAGAAGTGTTAAGTCCTTATTGCAGTAAACACACATTAAACACATCAACAGTCGTTTATAAAGGGTGAATTACGAGAAAGTGGTACCATTATGTATAACAGTATAAATGTAAAAATGTAAATATTCATTAAATATACACTCAAGTTGAGTATGAAAATAATATCTGCTAATGCTTCACACACGTTTTGACTTCCATACTTCTATAAATAATTGATCTGATCAAGTTTAATTTATATCAATCTGTGGAAAATACTTCAGAGTTTCACTGTTTAAAATGAAATGGGGGACAGAAAAAAAATGGTACAGTTTTAAAAACAGTAAACTTGAGGGTTTGTGTAGCTTAAGCTTTTCATCCAAATCTTCCTCCAGTCATTATTTTTAAAGCTGACTTCATTTTTCATTGTTATGATCTATATTTTATAAGATTAAATATGAGCTATCAAATAGTAAAGACAAAAATACATGATCTTAAAATCAAATTGAGCTTTCACATGCCATTAAAGTGTCAAAGTTTAGAGAACTGTCATTTTTATGAACTTACAATGTGTGCTAAATGCAATTACATGCCTTCTGCATATTTAAGTACAATATGCATCTTAATTATGCCTAAATGGAAACATCAAAGTAAAACTGTGGATAAATACTCAGGAAATTTGGACTAGAGAGCAGACGCGGAGACAAGTCTCCTCTTTAAATAAATATGTGACTATTCTCTACTGGAATGGATCACCTACCCTGAGGCTGAAATCTGGAGCTGGGAGGGCTCTGAGGGTAGCATCTCCTCCTCTGTCCTTCTCTGGGATGGCCTCTGCCCGAAAACATCCCTGCCCTCCAGAGGGGGAGAGGGGGACTGGGAGGGGTAACTGGCTGCAGTGGAGGCATAGGACATGTGGGCGTGGTAACTGGGGCTGGGTTGAGTGGCGCCCTGGCTCTGAGTGGGAGAGGTGGACAGGGAGGACCTCCGGGAGAAACTGACAGTGGCGGAGGGCTGCAGGGTGATCTCAGGCATCTCCAGAGACCGAGAGGTGCGGAGGATGCTGGGGCGCGGAGGGGGGCGCACTAGAATATCTGGAGAACCTGGCTGGGTGCTAAGGGGGCTTTGGGAGAGTGGAGAGAGGCGGGAGGGCTGGAGTACTAGCGGGGGTAGGCTGGGGTCTGCCCGGCGCCCCGCCCTCGGGCTGAGCCAGGACTGAGGACTACTACTGGGGGCTGTGCTTGGGCTCCCTGCACGGGCTGCCGGGTCAGGGTAAGGCAACACTGGTACACCCACACCGTGGGCCGTGTGTCTGAGCTGGCCGAGACTTTGGGCCTGTTGCATAGCTAAGCGCCTAACCGGAGGCCCCGAGGGCCTGTCTCTGCCTGGGGGAGCCACAGGGACCTCCAGCTGCAGGAGTCCAGGGCTTGTTGGATCCTTTAGGGAAGGGAGGTGCAGGCGGCTGGGGGGGAGAGAGTGAGGAGGGTATGGGGGTGGGTCAGGGAGGTCCTGGGGATGATGTAAGGGATGGTGAGGTGGGTATATGAACCGTGGACCCTCTAGACCCAGGAAGGGTAGCTCATGAGGCTGCCAGCTTTCAGGTGAACGAGGAGGAGGGCTGTGCGTGTGAGAGAGAGAATGGCCAGAGGCAGTGTACTGATGGTGCTCCATCTCTCCACTCTCCTCGGGGATGGAGGGGTAACCAAAGGGCCCTTCGGCGGTGCCTGGGGGGGAGGATAGAGCGGAGCTACGCGGGCTGATGTCAGGCATGTAGAATGGTGGTGGAATCCCTGATTCACCGCGGCTGCCTAGATACCCATAGAATGGGCCCTGGGGAAAGCCCCTGTAGCGGGAGGACGGGGCCTGCCCTGAGGCGTGAAGTGCACTGCCCTCTGCAAAGCTCATACCTTCCATGGGCCTGTGTAGGCGGGGGCTGTAGGTAGGGGGCTGCGTTGACTCCAGGCTGGAGGACGTTGGGGAGAGCTGGGGCCGCAGCGTGGGCATGATGGGCGGCAGAGGCCCGGGGTCAAAATCATTCTCCTCATCAGACTGCCGGAACTCAGGGTACATGTCAGACTCCTCTGCGAAGGGGAAGCCCTGGATGCGGCGGGGCGGTGGGCTGCTCTCCATGACGAAGCGGCCATCAGGGCCGCGGCTTATCAACTCAATAGGCGTGGTGACCTCTGCTTCATGCTTGGACACACTGTATTTCTTGCTGGCTATGGCACGCTTGGTTTTCTTGTAGAAGGAGAGCTCCTTGTCTTTCTCTCTCTGAGGGCTGGGCAGCTTCCTGACGTACAGGCCTGGACCCTGGGAACCCTCTGAAGAAAGAGAGCGTGGCCGAGATGGAGGGGAGCTCTCTGGACTTATCTTCCCCGATGATAACCTAACAATACAATGCAGACACAAGACACTGGCTTTATTTAACATACACCAAAGGACACCCAAAGGGAAAACATTTCAAGTATTTAAAAAAAAAAAAAGAAAAGAAAAATCTCTGATGCTGTAAATTAATAGGCATGATTGAAGTTCCATTCTTCAACTGAACAAATGACACAATACAAAGCCAAAGCGCTATATAAAGGCAGCCATAATGAAGAGCATTATGATAATGACCAGTGTATGGCGACAGCAGTATCCTAATGGAACAGCAGCTAATGAACCAAGCTAAAATGACGAGATGAGAGGAGGACCAACGACGCAACCATGACAACCGTATAACTTATCTATTGAATCTACATCTTCTTGAGCAGACGTGAGACCAATTTCCATATGCTGCACCAAATGGTGATGTGAGGAAAGCAGATGACATCTAACCAGGCCTCATTTGCCCACACCAGGAGCAGCACAGTCGACATTAACTGGGTCACTGAATACATCACGTAGACATACATTATAAAGAGTGCATATACACAGTATTCTACTGTACATGCAGCTGAACTAATGCAATTTAACTCCTGTATGGTGCGTGAAGTCTGTGCATGCAATAAGACCAGCGGTAGGCTTCACTACAACAAATAGTCATTGTAAGTTGATCATTTCTATGCAATGCATTAACCATGCAGCCAAGCCAGTGCAGTGCAGCACACTCTGTATTTTGGTGCAGGCAGGCACTCACAGGGGGCTGGCGGGCGGGGGCAAGAAACTGCTCCTGGCAGGCTCGTCCCAGCAGGGCTCTACCCCTGGCAAGGGGGTGAGAGGAGGCCTGCGATGGGAGACAAACGACATGGGCCTGGTTCATCTTTATCTATGCCACTTGCAGGAAGGACTGAGTGTGAACTCCCTGACCTGCCTGGACCATTTCATAAAAAATAGACAAAGGTATCTGATACTAATGATTTCCCTAAAGTCTCAGGCAAACAAACATTTACTCTGGAATGGTATTTACACAGATTATTGTCACAAATGAGCTCCTTTTGAGATTGAAATGCATTCATACATGTACACAGGTTTTACAGACAGACAGACAGGAACACACATGTAGCTGATACTGTACATTAAATGTGCAGCTAAACAAAAAACAGCATTATTAACCACTGAGAATCATGCAGAAAGCAGACAGCGTTTGAGGTTAAAGAATACAGATGGATCAAAAATCAATACACATACTGCAGCTTGGGCACTCTGGGTAATGTGTTTAAAATGCTGACTTGGCTGCTTTGAAGTCTCCTTAATCTGCCCATGATCCGCTAGAGGTTGCTACTGTACATGTTCTTCCACACCCTCCAAAAAAAATCAAGCATATAATCAATGTTTTTTTTTTTTTTAATCATCCACCTGGGCTGTTTCTTCTTCTGTATGCTTATTCATTTTGCACTTCTTAACCAATACATCAACTCTTGCCATATTACAGGAGAATGCATGCTGTGTGCATCAAGCGGCTTCACTTACAAGGCTCCAAAAAGATTATGTAATTCCAGTTGCTGTTTGTGGGTTTTGCCTGTTATTTATTGTTGTAATGTATGCCTTGTCACAGTATGCATGGGAAGTGAAATTTTTACAAAAGGTGCAAAAGAAGATGCACAGTAGTAGCCACCTCTGGTAGACTGCAGGGGCTCTGGCATTGGCTTTACTTACGGTGACTCAATGCTTTTCCTGAAGTGTGTCACCGACAAGGGAGGATCTGAGAGGACAAAAATATTTCAATTTAGCATTTCTTCTGCACAATACCAAGAGTACAAGTCAGACACATGGAGGGATTAAGAGACAATGGGCCCCTGAGCACAGACATGTAACAGGCCTCTCACCCCTCATACATAGGCTGCATTGTTCGTAATTGTTTTGTGTCCCTTCATGATTCTTCTGTGTCTTTTTTAACTCATTTTGTGTCTCTTTTTCTGTGGTTGTTTTTTGTCTCTTTGTGGTCGTTTTGCGTGTTTTCTAGACATTTTGTGTGTCTTTGTAGTTGTTTTGAATCCCTCTGTGGCCATTTTGTGTCTATTTGTAGTCATTTTGCATCTGATTATAGACATTATGCATCTCTTTGTAGACACCTCGCACCACTGTCTATTCAGTTTGCTTGTCTTTGTAGTCTTTTGATTGAAATATTAACAGTCACTTCAAACGAGAGGCTCTGGCTCTGGACCCCGGGGCCTTTGCCTGCTCAGTAATCCATCCATGGTGAGACACGTACCATATTTAATACATGTGAATCAAGAGGAGAGGGAGACCGACCTGGTTTACGCTTGAGTTTACGACGGTGTTGCTTATTGACAAAGCAAGCAGCTAGAGTGCTGAACAGTACTGCCGCTGCCAGAAAACAGATAGTTGCCACGACACCCGCCACCACAGGCCGCGCCAGCCCCTCGTCAGGCAACTCCGCAGGAGGGAAGGGATCTGACGGGGCAGATGAGGAGGTTAAATGGAGAGTTTGCAAATAAAAAACTCACAAGTCTATTCCTCGCAAGAGCCATTCATTTCTGTGTATCGTCTGTAATGCTTTACTGTGAACAGACTGACCTGTGCTAGATACTCCCACGACATTGCTGCTCTCACTGATCAGGTCATCCATGACAGCCATCACTCGAAACTCGTACCAGGACTCCTGTCACAGAGACACACCAAACACACTCTTCTTATGACCGTCTCATACACTGGTTTTTGTGAACAGCTTACTAGATCATGGCTTAACACCCTGCACTGAATTTCACACAATTGGTTTATAGATTATACAGATTATATTAGACATATGATAATTATTCTATTTTTTTTATAGGTATTCTATTAGTGATTGTAAAAATGTCTATATATTAATGACTGTACTGTTTTGTAATTTTGAACCAGCTGCAGTCTACAACTGAGTGGTTATTGAAATGCACTGAAATGCAAAAAGGCTAAAAATAAGAAATTAGTTTTCATTGATGTCAGTCTTTATATGGATGTCAGTCCTCTAAAACCCACTGCATACTGTATGATAAAAGCGTGGACGGCAAATAATGTCACGTCCAGATATGCTTGGCACCATGAAATGGTGAGATTGTTAACAAAAAAGGATTCTGTTAATTAACTTCTTAGTCAATTATTCCTCTAACTTATCCACTGTGCCACTAACATTAAACAAAATAAAAGCATGAAGACAGAAAAACTCCCACAGACTCATGTTTCCAAATCAAAATGTGGATGTAACTGACCTGAACGAGGTCTCTGGCTACGAGCTCAGTCTCAGTGGATGGGATCAGGTCATCCAGAACCTCCCACCTCTCCCCGAGGCGGAACTCCATGATGTATCGGTCGATGGGTGAGGAGTGGTTGGCTGGAGGGAGCCATGTGAGGAGGACACCGTGCTGCGTGCGATTGGCTGTGAGGCACCGTGGTGGAGTAAGAAGCACCAGTGGTTCTGGGGTACCCAGAGGAGAGCCTGTGGACCAGAAATTGGACACCATGAATGTTTGTACCAAATGTTGTGCCAATACATCAAGTACATTTTAAGATATACTGTAAGTGTAAATTTTGACCTGCTGCTCACCAAAGTTATGAATATCTGTACACAATTTCATAGAAATCTATCTGATAGTTTCACAAGACATTTCACTAAAATCCAAAAATATCATCCTGCTGGTGGCAACAGAGGAAAAGTCAGGAGATCACCAAAGTTGGTCAGACTGCGAACATGTGTACAAAATTTCATGGCAATCCATGGTGGACTGACTGACCAAAAGGGCCTTTGTTAGAGCTATTCAGTAGCATGGCTAAAACTGACTAGATTCAGTGGATTTGCAAACAGGGCTGAGTGGAAGAAAGAATGAACAGAGTTTTATGACTTTTTTAACAATAAAAAAACAATACAGTGTATATCATGAACCGTAATAAATATCATATAAAAGATGCATTGAGTCACTCAGCTTGAAGTTTGTCAGACGGCCTGAGAAAGGAGCGTGGTTTAGCTCTTTGAATATTTAACCTCACAAGTGCTCCACCTGACCTCAGACTAAATACTGAGAGAGCTTTCCCTACAGTGTCACACTGGCTAAAGAACTTCCACTATTTTCTTTTGAAAAAAGCTGAGACCGAACACAGTTCTCCTAGTTGCCCACAAAAAACATCCCATTACTTACATTTATAAGGAGTGTCTGAACATTTAATATGTGGTTTATAACACACTCTAATGTGGTTCTAAGCAGATATAAGTGTTTATTATTTATTAAGTGTTTATTACTCCTGTGTGCGGCCATGAGATGAGGCTGCTGGTAGAGAATAACATTATAGTAAAACACAGCTGTGATAATATAAAATATGCCTTAATAGGACAAGTTATAATTGTTAACAAATACTGTACATATAATACAAACTTAAAATGTATCTGCTGACAATTACATTATAACATAACAAACCATTTATTAAGTTTATTAAAGTTTATATACTGCTTATAAATGAAAAATAGAGGACTTGAAGTAAAGTGTTAATATAAAAACATAAGTATACTACTCACAGTCGTGAACACAGAAATACACTAGGCCGTTGTACAGTTTTATCCAAAAAGCAAATTTAGTGTCTGAAATGACCAAATCAAAAATTTGAAGTAAAATGAATCAAATCGAAAACTCTTACTTAACTGTCATGCCATGAATGACAGACATCCTACCAGTGGTATGGTAACACAGCATGTCAGAATATATCGACAATAGAATCCATTTGTCATGAAAGAGCAGGAGATCCTGAACAGTGACACATTAATCATACATGAGTTGGACTAAATCCTGGGTCACAAAGACGCCCTGTGAAGTTTAGTTTATCCAAAATGTATTTTCTCTTTTAACAATTTGAACATAATCACGTCTTTTTTTCTTTAAAAAATGTTGTTAGCTTATAAGAGTATGTGTGACGGCTGTGAGCCGGAGCTGAATGACTGATGTTTGATTTCTGTTGTGAAAATTTAACAAAAATGAGACTATGGAACAATGCAATATACAACAGAAACCTTATTCTCCATTGTCATCCATCTATTGGCTGCTATCTGAGTGTGTGAACTAGGTCAGAACTTTGCAAGCCCCATTTAGCTTTTGTTGAATGAAGGGAAGCTTCACAACACATTGTTTGTAGCAGAATCAGGGTTTACACTGTATAAAACCAGACCAGTGCTGTCAGGAAGTTACTGTTATCAAGTCTAAGGGATTATGATACGACTGTTCGATTGTCTCATAAAAATGGCAGTGGATAGAATCAATAAGAAGGTGTTTATGTGGAGTAAATCATCCAGTTCTCAGTGAAGAGCTTTACTCAGTGTTTAAGAAGCTGGATATTCTTTATATCTATAGGAATCATTTGTGTTGTAATGTTAACTTTATTAAAAGTAATTTTTCATTGAAGTTTGAAGAAAAATTGAAAAGAAAGCCAAGTCAAAGCCAAAATCAAACAAACGTTTGGACCTGAATCACATGCTACATCTTGTTTATGCAGAAGTCAGAGATCTTTAGTTGAGAGCTGGTATTCTTCCTCTTCACAGGCTGGTGGATTCAAAAATGTTCAGGAGGAAAACAGATAGTTTGAGCTGATCTAGGTGAAGAGGAATGTGTGAGTCCAATTTTTTTTTGTACTATAAAAATCATAATGATGTAAAAGAGTTAATTTTCAATTAAATATCAAAAACTGGAATTCTTGTTTAATTTTGGTGCATTAAACTTTGCTAACACTGTCTATAAAACCTGGAAACAGCACTCTGGTCGTGGCGTGCGTGAATATATGGTGTCTTGTAAACCCGTGCTGCCTGTGCAAAGTTATCTGTACGACACAATAATAACATTTTAACTGTTGTGTTTCAAACTAAGAGTTTCACATCTTTTTTAACTGAGGTCTTCACAGCTAAGTATTGCATTGGTAAAAAGGTAACTTAATGCACTGATTTCCATATTTAATGAACTGTGTGGAATTAGACTACATGGGTTTGTTTGAGGTTTCTTCTCTCTGTTTCGTACACACAGAGACTTTGGGTGTGCCTTGTTTTATGCATTTCCTCATTCAAAACCTTCACTTCTTTGTCCTTTCCACTGGCATGAGGGGAAATCTGGTGATGCACTCTTCTCCCTTCATGCCTTTCTTTTTGCTGAGACATTCACTTTAAATACCATACACCTTTAATTCAGTGTGTGCTCAGGCAGCGGGCATACAAAGACTGACCTGGCAGCATGCCCTTGAAGCATGAGTTGAATTAAAACACACAAGAATCTAAACGTAAACTGTAAACCTTAAATGTAAACCCTTTTTTTCTTTTCACATCAAAAATGCACTTCATACAAAAACATGAATTTCTTAATAGCAGCTACATTCAGCTCAGTTGACTGGCAAGCTATTCTGTAATGGCTCTTTCTCACGGCAAACATGTTGACTTGTCAAACACAGGTGGAACTAATAACATTAATAAAAGCCTCTGGTATTGTACGTGCTGGTTTATTGGCACACCTAAATGGGACAGTGCCATCATTAATGCCATTAGTTACACCTGTGTTCCTCCTGCTATGAGAACTCAAAAATGTTTGCAGTGTGAATTATCTGTTGCATTGCTCAGTGCACTGAATTGTATCCACAGTGCTGTGTAAGAAATATCAGCAGCTTTAAAGTTCAACACAATTTAATGCTTTCCTGACTCATTTTGTGCATTTCTTTACCTATAATGCCTGTAAGTGTCAGGCACATAACAGCGAATGGTAGAAATGATACATTTTTAATGATAGTTTCAATTTCTTCTTTTAAATCCTGACAGAACACCACACATGGGCTTAAAAGGAAGCTAGAAAGGCCTTGATTTATGGACAGTTTTTAAAAAGAGCTTCGTGGAGGTGGGTGGAATTAAAGCGGTGTGTTGTGGATGTAAAAGATGATGTTTAAAAGAATGAAGGAATCTGGTCCAAACATGTCATTTTTTTTAGTAGTAGTACTGTTACATACCTTCAAGGGCATATATTTGAAATATATATACAATATTTATATATATGTATATGTTTTTTGGGTAGGAAAATGAAATGAAAATGGTTATGGTGCTTTCCATAAGAATGGTAGCATAACAAAAAATAACAAAAGAAAAAGGAATATAGATGAACGTCTAAACGTCTGCTGTATTGTTCATGCATTAACTCTCCTTAAAATCGTGTTTAGTTTCCTTTATAAAGACGATAGATGTTAGATCCAGATAAAATGATTTTTTTAATCATGCAGAGCAGGTGAAGAAATGGGGTGTTTTTTCTGCCCTGAACCGTGTCTGTAGGTCCTCAGGCTCCAACCAGTGAAGACAACCACTCCCGACGAGGTAGAGCAGACTGTATGTAGCCTGACAGGTGAAACCCAGGGCATAAAAAAGACATAAAAATGCTTGCTGCTCCACTTGCTGCTGGTCTTTAAGGTTATTGCTCTGAGCACACAGCAGTAATTGAAGCCGACTGAGATGAACATTTTTATCAAGTCATATCTTCTCTCATCTGTATTTTGGCAGCTGGGCAGTCAGACAGTCATTGTTTAAAGAGATTTTAGTGACATAATCAACCCGAAACAATAAAAGAAAATGGGAATAGGATTTTGAAGTGACAGGAAAATGTCCCCCCACCATCCCCAGTGGAAATTACACCATTATATACATTAATTTAAACATCACTAGAGGGCAGTATCTTCCACACCGTGTCTGATGATATTCTAAAATTAGAAATGGTGTCTCAGTGCAGCTCAGTGGGTTGATTCTGAAGTCAAGAAGCGGCAAACATGGATGGAAAAACCTTTGATTAACTGCACCCACCTGCAGTGTTGACTGTCACAACTTCGCTGAATGGGCCCGTGCCCAGTTTGTTTTGTGCCAACACACTGAACTGGTACTCTGTCCCAGGCTCCAGCCCTGGCACCACCAACCAGGTCTGAGCACCAGAGACTGGCATCGAATGCCAGTCGTGAGGACCGAAGTCTATTCTCTTTGACCTGAGAACAGAAATAAAAGGCAGAAACACTGAGGATTATTTACAGCACGATTAAAGGCTTAAACTTCATAATGGTGAATAATTTTCTTGCTGCGATTAGTCACAAGACAGTGTTGTTCAGAAAGTGGGTGCTAAAAATGTGCAGATAATTTAAGGGTCAAGCACCAAATAGATTTCTCTCTGTTTGACATCATTTTTTTTACTTGTCTTTGAAGCATGTCATAGTCATGCACCAGCCTACTCCCACTTTTTTCCAGTCAATTTCCTGGAAACTTTCCTCATAATTTCCAAAAAATTAGATGCTATTTTGCTGGTTTTCATTACTAGGATGTTTCCAAGAAAAGGCCCACACAAGTAACTACAAGAGATATGGAGAAAGTGTGACAGTTATATTTGAGTTTCTTGAAGAAAAACCTGTGAGTAAGTCATAAACATTAACACTTTATTCTATAGGTCTGCTATTCCCGAATAATTAAAAGTTTCCTGGAATGAACCACATAGTTTGGTTCTAATTATGAGGAAAATAAAGACAAAGTTGTCAGTCCATTTAAACTTCAGTGCAAATTTATTACTTCATCCACATCATTTATTCTGAATTGAATGTTTGGTTTTAGACACGTTTCTCTATTTGCATGTGCAGCTCTCCTGTCATCCTCTGAATAAAGGTCTAAAGGTTGAGCTAGAAATAACTGTAAGTGTATCAATTGATCACTCTCAATTTCACCTGTAATTAGAACCAAGTTATGTGGTTCTAATTACTGCTTTAAAAACCAAAGTCTGCAAATCGCTCACTGCTTCTCTTAAAGCTTAACTGCTGTGAGCGCAGGAATAACTGAAAGCGGCCTGGATGAGCAAATCAACATTTTTATCAACTCCTCTCTCATCTGACTTATGGCGACTGGACAGTAGGAGACAGTCTGGTGGACTCTGCTCAGAGAGATTCTAGTGAGTAAATCACCCTGAAACTTTAATGGTGGAGGGGACATGTCCTCCACCCATCCCCAGTGAAAATGACATCATTTGTTTTGCCAGAACTGACAATTTTTCCACTATCAATATCCTCTAACTTTTAAAACTACTTGAATGATCCACCCAGGGAATATGATTGCTATAGCAACAAAATCTCAATCTTAAATTCACTCGATTTATACACTGCTGCTCATAAAGTTGGAATAAAATATTTTTAACCTCTTTCCATGAAATGATTGGGACAATGTGATTTATTTCATTTCACCTGGGTAATTGGGACACATAATGTAATCATTGCACCTGGTCAAAAGTTAGTACTGATGCATTTAAATAGGAGTAAACAGAGGATTGTGTCTGAAAACTAAATCATTCCAACTTTATGGGCAACAGTGTATTTGCTTATTGTAAACTGTAATTTAAAAAACTGATGACTGACATTGACAGGATAACACAAAAGTATTTAAATGTTAACCAATTTGTGCGTTTCACCTATTAGTCGTGGTCCCTGTCACTGCAGCCATATAAACCTGTTATTTGGTTGTTATTAAATAATAATGTTATTTTAATTGTGTCACTGCTATTTAGTTGTGTTTACATCCACAATACCCCACTCCATTAGGCTACAATGTGAAATGTATTAAGCATATTAATTATCTCTTACCAAGGTAATTACAGGGCTTTGACTCACAAATTTGTAGTTTCAATTTCATGTGAAATGTTATTGTACACGAGAACGTTGTGGAACTACATTCAAAAGTGTCACTTTCTTTATTTTTACAATAATCACGTGAGCGTCTATTGTTACCATGATGGATGGTTTACTCACACACACGGAAAAAAATCAAAAAATATACTCTGTTCTGGCTAGGAGCAGGGGCATATCTCATGCACGATGCTGAGTGGGATGTTACTGCAGTGACACTCCATTACTTTCCCAATACACACTATGAATTATGCACACACACATCCACTAAATACCCTGAGAAATAAGCTGTCAAAACAATTCTGTGGTGAGCTACTGATTGAATTTCATATTTTATCATCATCAATGAAGAAGGCAGAAGAAAAAAAAAAGAAGCCCTGCTCCTAATGTACATCAAACTAGGCCGATAACCTCCAGATAGTGTTTCCACATCTGTAGACTGATTGATGATTGATTTGAAGGAAACTAAGAGCACTCACACTGGACCGTACCACACAGAAAAGGTCTGTTCGAAGCCACCATCATAACCTGGTTCCCAGGACACATTAGCAGAGGTTGTTGAGGGCAATACATGGATATTGCCAGGAGCGTGTGGGCTGGTGCCTGAGTGGTTCATAGAGACAGAGGCAGAAAAATGGAATAAATTAGTTGATATGAATACTGTATTAACATTTTATTCATATAACTGGCAATTCTAAGTCAGACTCATAATCAATCTGATTCAGTTAAAAAAAAAAAGCAAACTATGAGCATTCTGTTGCTGTTTTCATCCCCAAATGCAGTGCTGCTTCATGCGTCTGCTCTCCGTGGATAATGTCATGCTGGCTGAGGTGGTGACCAGTGTAAGGTCAAGTTCTAGATCAGCAGCGCTGTCTACGGCTCTGCTCATCCCACCCACCAAACAGCTGTGCAGTGCGGCCCGAAGCCAGCTACTTCTCACTAAGGGAGAGACCTAAGCGTGGTCTGAGGAGCACAGCTGTCTGTGCCACCCTGTGACACCTGTCAGCTGAGGGCTGCTCACACAGCTGTGCGACACTATAACCACTCCATAGGCACTGGGGCAATGGGCTACTGGGGCAGACTTACTGACTTGTTCCCATTTAATGGACTACCAGACTTGAAGGGAACAATTCAATTCAACATCATGAAAATATGGATATTCATTACCTTCTGAGAGATAGATGAAAAGACTGATGCCATCACATATCTGTATGTCAAATATGAAGCTAGGGCCATGGGAGATGGGAGGGGACGGGAGACTGTGATTTCCTCCTTTTATAATTGCAATGTCTCCTCAGCCTTGAAGAAAAAAGGGGTGTGATGGTGGAGTTTTTTGAGTAATAGATGATTTCTGAGAAGCACAAGGCTGATCTGACACAGAATACTTGATTGTAGTTTAGCTAAAGCTATGGCTCCTTGGTGGTTTTATACAGAAATCCTAAAGTTAAATATTGTGACGTTTACTCAGTTAAAGTAGTAGTTCATCATTTTGGGGAACAACTTGTTATTTTTGCACCTCTGTTTTTGTACAGATTAAACACACGAGATACACAGTGTTATTGAGCTTTATAGGTGCTATTAGGTGGAGTTTTTTTTTTTCTTTTACCTTTCGTCAGATCCAAGATAGCTGTTTCCCCCAAGTCTTTATGCTAAGCTGAGCTAACCGGCTGCTGGCTGTAGCTTCATATTTACTGTGCAAACATGACAGTAGTATTAATCTTTTTATCAAACTCTCAGCAAGATAGTGAAAGTGTATTTCCAGTAGTAGTTGAGGTGAATGCCATATGGCCTCAACGTCTATGGTTCATTTCAATTCCTGGCCAGAATGTACAAGTGATCCCCCTGTGCAAATATTTTGTGACATCTTACCTACTTTTGCGATTACAAGTCTGAAAACTATACTGTACATAAAACTATCTTTCCAGCCTACAGGGGATAAATATTTCATAATCAATAGATCGATTTTCAGAGGAGTATTCCTTTAAAAGCCTGGACTAGAATACAAGAACAAGACATACATTTACTTAATGTTTGCATGTTTATACGACTGTAAAATGTGCTTAACAGCATAAACCACCTCTTAAAGAACAATACTTTTGTGTCTGTTGTTGCAATGCAATTGTACATTTAACATAATTATAATCATTACCCATAATAATTATATGTCAATAAGTCAATACACCTCCATAATGAGTTGAGGCGGTTTTAAAACTCTGTGTAAGGCTTTTATCTACTCAAAATGGCTGCTATTACTGCTGTAAAAACGTTGTCACAACTTAAGCAAGCAAAGGACATAATAAGTGCTGCAATCTGTAACTGTATGAGAGAACTTTACAGTTGTAGGGGGTACTTAAAGGCAAAGGCACCATGATTAAAATCTGATGTTTAGAATTTGCATTATTGGTGTCAAAGGAGAATTTGCACAGTGTTCAGGGCTCGTTGTATTACCCTTCACAATGCATTCTTAGTGCATCTGGACCTTCATAGCCCTGTTTAAACTTCATATCCCTGCATGCCTTTGTCGGCGCTTCAGTCAATCAATTTATGAGTAAAAAGATGTCCTTGGCCCAACGCCTGAACAGACAAAGGCTGAAGTGACAGGGTTTTAGCAGAGGGCTGGATAGCACACTGTAGCTACAGAGTCAGGCTTTAATGTAACTGTCTAAAGCTATTACAGATAAGATCAACTGAAATTTTAATGATGCCCAAGGGGAAATTGGGTAGAGGCAAGGGGTTTGTGGGATAAGGGTCACTTCTTCTTCATGCAAATCATTTCAAAGACACAACAGAGTGAGATCACAATGAACTCAGAATAACTAAGACAGGTCAGTGGTTGAGGAAGTTGAGAGCACTGTGCAGGTTCTTTGTACCGATGACTAGGATACGCGTGCTGGCAGTGATGCTTGTGACCACATTGGTGGCTACACACTCCCATTCTCCATGGTCTTCCTTGCTGAGGGACAGAAACTGTAAGCTGCCACTGGGTAGGATGTTGTGCTTACTCCTGCTTGGCTTCCCCACCTTCAATGGACACGAAAATTACAGCGACATGGTTAAAAGGTGTCAGGCAAACAGATTTTAGTACACGACAGGTAAAATCAGAAACAGAAACACAAGGTGATTTACTTTCAGGAGGTTTGTTATGGTGTGTGTTTGTCTACTGCACCTTTCTCCAGGTGATGGTTGGTATATCAGGGTCTCCAGAAGCAGCACAGGGGATCACTAGCTCTCTCCCAGCCTCCTGACGATACTCCCCCCCAGGCCTCACATTAAAGTAAGGGGGATCCTTGATAAGCACACACAAACACACACCATGCAGACTTGAGGACAGAGCACTCTATGCTACAACATGTAGAAACTGCACATCAGACACTACCAAACTGCAATGTACCTTTAGCACCAAAGTGGCAGGGGGGGACATGCCCATGGTACCCAGGGCGTTGTAAGGCACACAGGTGTAGGTGCCCAGGGAGTCTTCTGTGGCCTCCGCCACCCGGATACTTCCATCTGGCATCAGGCTCCAACCGGGGTACTACAAGACAAGGGAGGGGGCATCTAAAATGCTTGATTTCAGGGTTCTAAATACTTTTGAACCGCACAAGAAACCAAAAACTTAAACCAAAATTTAAATCGGATGAATGAGAAGTGAAAATTATTGCAATGCAAGTCTGCCCTCAACAGCAGTGTGAAATACAGTAGTAGATAAACAGAGCACAGAGGTATGTATGCGACACTTGAGTAAAGTTTGAAAACGACACTGCTTTACACAGACAGTGTAGTGTTGAAATGATACAGAAACTGTGGGGTTCGGTTGCAGACTACTATTTTTGCAAAGGTCACTGGACACTTGATCATAATCTTTGAATTGTAATGGGAAAGTTTAAATCATCAATGTGCTGTTACTGTCACAAAAACAGAAAAGGAAAAGTTTTGTGTTAAGCTTTTATCACCCAGTGGACTTTGATGGACTGTTCAATTATAAAGAAGTTACCTGAATATGAACATGTAACACATGTATGTAGGTTCAACTCTTCTCATCTCGGTTGTTATTTAAAGAAACAAATAATACTGGTAAAATGCACAGAAAATTATGCAAATGAAACTTTAAAAATATGGTGTCTGTAACTTCAAGGTCTGGAACTTAATGTCCAAAGTCTAATGCTGAAAAATATTAGCAGGTCCAAATGTCGTTTTATTTTGTTGAAAAGATTGCAGTCAAGCAAATCAAACTCATAAAAAAAATATATTTAAAAAGAAAACATAACTTTCATAATGTCATTATTAAAATCATAATACATTTATCATAGATCTGATAAAAAGCCACTTGTTTATCAGCGGCACCAAATAAGCCACTGCATAATCATACCTCATTGAATTTGGGGCCAGTTTTCAAATAGTTTACACTGAGACATACAGAACTGCAGAAAAGCAAACCTAAACATGAAAAAAAAAAATTTAAAAAATGATGCTTTTATAAGGGAGGTCAACAAAGTCCAGAGGCAGACTGACCTTCTCCACTCGGAGAGGATAGCCGTCTTTCTCCCACTTTACCGATGTCACAGGTGGGTTGGCGTCCACCGGGCAGCGGATGATGCCTGGCAGTTTCCGTGGTACGTAGATGACCGGGGGCATGTTGATCACTCGGGCAGGGTCTGGACATAAAGGACAGATCGGTGTTGGAGACATAATCAATAATGTCTGAACCAAATGTTTGATATTTACTGTTTCTAATGTGTAAAGAAATTTCACAGCAGAGACAGGAACTCATTCTTAACTGGCCAAAAATTCTCAGACGGACACAGTTTTGGTCCTACGTTTTTGTCCAGAGTGTTTTATCAATTTTCTTTAACTAAGGAAATTACTTCTCTCTCACCCAAAATTTAGGAGCTCTCCAGTGGTGTCCTACCTGGCAGGAGTTGTCAGGAGATGACTTTCAGGTAGAAACAAGTCGTGATAGGACAGATGAGTTGGGAATGCTTGATGACTATGAGCTTATTAAAAGGTTGTTTTGACAAAATAAGTTTTGAGCTTGACTTTGTGCAGGATGCAGAGGAGAAAACATGATGGGATCCGAAAATACAGCTGTGCAACAGTGTTGATTCTGACAGGACCAACAATTTTGACACTGACAAATCCCACTTTGATCTTGCTTTTGCATCTCATAATGCTCACAAAGAGGGTCCTCAGTGAGAACGGACCCATCTGCATAATGAAGGATATCTCTACTTAATCACAACAGGCAAAATTTAACATATTGTTTTATATCTAGCTAATTGTTATGTTTATTTATTTCAAATAACAGCAGGACTATAAAATATGAACATTTAGGAAACATAGATGAGGTGTAGGTTTAGGGGAATTAGTGAGAGAGAAGACGGAGCTGCAGCCAGCTGAAGAGTTTTCACGTCATCGCTGCATGTGTCTGTGCCTGTGCAATGTGTGCAAGATGCAGTGCAGCATTATTATAGGCTGTTAGGCGATGTGGGGTTGGGCGGGGCTGATAGGACTATTACACTTAGCTGGGTCATATTACCTACTCTTTTGATTTACATATAGACCTCATGGTAACACCTTATTTGAAGTCTCCCTCTTTAGCATTAATAATAAGTACATACATACATATGATTCAATAAATCACATATAACACAGTTGTAAACATCAAGGACATTTTTAGGTGATAATTAATGTATAGCATTTGTCAACAATTATATTTTCTCCCATGAAGACATATTTTGTATTGCAACAGCTGTATTTTACTATATTGTCATTCATTATCTATTTACACAGCAGCCTCCACGTATGGGTGTCAACAGGAGGAGGTACAGTTGCAAATAAAAATACATAAATAGACGGTAATCTGCTTACAGCTGAATTGTAGTGTGCTACAAACCTTTTATTATGAACATTTATATACAACATTTATATGAACATTTGTTCATATGCTAGTTCCGAATGCTTAACAGGTCGACTTAATGCACAATGTTAGTGACTATGACTTTTAATGAATTTTGTCATCATACTTTTGCATATATAACCTTGGTTAAGTTATTTACCTTGTCATATAAAACCCATGAAACTGTCAGAAAATCATAAATGAATGTGATAGACAGATTCAGTCAGACAATGTGAGTAAATGAGCCTGTGTTTAATGGACAGGTGGCTGAGGAAATGGAGGGCAGTAATTATCCAGTGAATCAACTAATTCTGCTGATTTTTCTCAGCTACCTGCTGTTGCATTGAATTTAATTTAACTTTTAACTTTTTTCATATGGACAATCCACTCAGAATCAATACCGCTTTCAGAGAATCCTTGGTACTAATATTAAAACAAACAATAAGACACTCAAAATGCATGAAATAGTTGTTCTGTTCCTCCCTGAAAGTAAGGATAGGACATTAAATAAATTACTCTCAACTACCTAATCTATCTTTAGTCCTAAGTTAACTTTAGAGCAATTCCTGGGAGCGATTCAATGATGTTTGATAATCATGGGTGCAGAGTATATTTTGCATGAAGCATCCAGGACACTGGTTTCATTATGGTCTGCTGTAACTGAGGCCAGTGATGAAATCAGTGCCTGCAGTGCTGTGAATCCCCCAGCTTCCCTCTCTCTCTCTCCCTCTCTTTCTCTCTCTTGCTCTCTCTCTCTCATACTGTAGCACAGTAATCAATGACCAGCAGCAACTTGGGAGCAAATTAGCACAACACACAAGGGCTGACGATGAAACGTCAGATGGCCAGGAGTGTCGTTTCTCTCTCATCAGTCTCAGCTGATGAACAGGAAGGTCACCATTTCATTTAGTGGGGGCCCAGACTCAAAAGAGACCAGGAAAAATGGAGTCTGAGGACGAGCCCGTCTCCATCTTTGTGCACAGGAATGAGGCTGGAGTCGGAATAGATAATAATTCAATCATTGAAATCCTTTGAGAGTATGGAAATGGCCAAAGAGGCTGAGTCAAAATGACGAGGGGGAATCTCTGCTCCCTCTCTGTAACGTTTGACCTTGAAATTCAAGAAGGTTACTTAGCATTACAGTGGCAGAGCAGCGCTGCCAAATAATACAGCAGCCTCCACCACAAGCTGCCTCCATACTGCTGCTGCTGTTCCCTTCTCCTCACACAGCTCGCTCCCGCCCCTCCCCCCCACTTTGTTGCCAGGGTAACACTCACACTGAACAGTCAGGTAGGCTGATGCTGAGGGCGAGATGCCGAGGCTGTTGCTCGGACTGCAGGTGTATTTCCCAGCATCCTCCGGCTTGACCCGGAAGATGATAAGGGTGCCGTCGATGAGGATGCGCACACGGAGCTTCAGATCACTGCAAGAAGACACAGATGTTTTGTCACACCGTGTTGCTGAAACACACCGACAGGACAGGGCACCAATCTATTTCTTTCTTTCTTTTTTTTTTCTCTTCTTTTTTTTTTGGCTAAATTACATCATGGTGCCATAAGAGAGCAGCAGAGAGTCAAACAGCAGCCAGCTCTGAGAGGGATCCAAAGAACACAGAGTACAGAGTGAGAGATTCAAATAAATCTGCTAATTGTCATAATCGCCAAATGGTACATGTTTTCCCCCTTGACAGCATTTAAAATTAAACACACTAATGACGGAGCACATATTCCACTGGCTTTCCTTTTTAATGGAGCTGCTCTCCTTGTCCACACAGTGAAATCAACATTTAATCACACAACTGAAGAGAAGTTCAAACTGAATGTCAATAAATAAAAAGGTACCACTTTCTAAAAAGACCCCCTTGGTAACAAGTTTATAGGCCATAGCTAATGGTTTTATTAATGATTAACACGTGATTTACTAAAGGTTTACAGTCAGTTATAGGCCAATCAAACGAATAACACTTGAGTTGCCTGGCTGTGAAAACATCCTTTGACTGATTGAACTGTATGAAAACTTTGTGAAAAAGGATGTAGAGAATCTGGACAAAAAAACACATTAATTATTAGGTCCATTCTTCCATTAAATATTTATTAATGGATTAACAATGTTTACAACTGCACTGTTGCCAAACAGATATTTTTCACAGCCTGCAAAGCCTTAAGTATTTTTATTAATGGCTTATGAGCTATCTTTAAAGTACTGGTTAATGATTTATTAATGATTATTAAAGCCAACAGTTACAATTTCAGGTGAGACTATTGATTCCAGGCTGGAAATTCACGTTTTATTTTTTCTTCATGATTTTCTTCTTATATAATCTGTATTTTCTTTGTATTGGAAATGTTGTGTATTTTGATTATATTGGAAAAAAAACAATAATATATTTATAATCAATTGTATACATATGTATAATAAATAACACATACATCAAATATTAAACTACATAGTGGTATATACAACACATGTACATTGTATGTAGTATACTGCATCAGCAATGTTCCTTAAGCTGGTTAGGAATACATCCTAAATGGCTCCAGTACAGAGACACAGGTGATCACATGATGATGAATAATAGGTTAGATGAAGCAACAACCCCAAAACATACAGCCAGAGTCATGGAGAGCTATCTTCAGCAACAAGAACAACAAGGAGTCCTGCAACAGATGGTCCGGCCCCCACAGAGCCCTGATCTCAGCATCATGGAGTCATTTTTACTCATGGTAATATTTTTGAAAGCGTCTTCACCCTTCTTTTGGTCGAGTTTTACACGGAACTGCATATGTTGTACAGCACATATTAATTGCTACTGAAGATATTAAGGATTTCACACAAATCAGATAAACTGTTTTGAAAATAAAAATCACCTATGGTTTTGCAGAAAAACGTCAGTGAGTAAAACTAAAGTGTAAGGATTTTTGAAAAGATTACAACAATATGGAGACGAAGGACAAATCCTTGCCCCTCACTGCTTATGTCTGCTCTGAACCTGCATGTGATTGAGGGGTTAAAGGTGAAAGGTTACTCTTCAACTTAGCTGTAAGTGGGAAGTCTTATACCTCACACTCAATTATTTGTATTGCATGTCACACTGTGCGAGATGAATCTGCACGAGACTGTATGATATCAGTTTGAGGCACGACCGATTGTGCGATGACTGTGCGGTGAATTGTGGCGCTACGACATGAACAGAAAAAAGAAAATGAGCAGAGGTGCGTCATCCATCCGTGCTGCTCTTATGTTTAGTAGTTGCAGCTCTGCAAGGTTTTTCTTCTTTGCTACGGTCACACAAATTTCCACCTCTATCTTTCCAGTCTCTGTGTGTGCACGTGTGTGTTAAATGTTGTTTCATGTCGTATTCTGATTGGTTGGTTTCTAGACTTGAGTTGCATCAGCAGTAAAATTGTGAGAGAAGATCCTAAATTTCTGACACTGTCTGAATTTTGCCGCAGCATGTCTTCGGTCACCACAGCTCCAAATCGGCTCACGATGGACAAGCCTCACAGTGAGATGTAGGACCACCATTTTGGGTTTATGAATGCAGCAGCTGATGTCTAATACAGCCAAAAGTCACACAGTGTGGTCCCTTTACGCTGACATCTTGGCTCCTTAGCGCACTTTTAAGTGTAATTTTTAGCCGTTTGATAAATACAGGCTCTTCTCCCAAGTTGCACATTCCAATGTATAAACTCAGTATAAAAGGTCTCTTATTAGAAAGTGGTACCAATAAAATTTAATGCAATTCTCTAAAATACATCTTACCTGTCCTGCAAAAAAAAAAGAAAAAGAAAAAAAGACTGACACCCCGAAAGCTGTTTAAAATTAGCCTGGACACTTTAATGCACTTCCTCTGTGAAAGTCCCTCAGACACTTGTTTTCACTGCCAGTCAAAACCCCATTCACTTGTTCTTCCTTCCCACTTGTTCTGCCTGTCACTTGTTCGCTGTAAAAACCCTCTCAGACTCTAAAGACCTGCTCTGGGGAGCCCGCAGAGGTCCTGGCTACGCTTCAGATCATCACTGCATGAGAGGCGCATGATGACACAAGGCCTGAGTCATGTGATACTGTCCTCAGAGTGCACTAACTCGTCTGGCACGCTCCAGACCGACCCCCGCCAGGCCCCCTCTTACTGCCTCTAGGGCCGCAGCAGGAAAGGGCTCTAGTGCGCGCGCACACACACACACACACACACACACACACACACACACACACACACACACACACACACACACACACACACACACACACACACACATACATATATATACAGTTCATATAAGCACACAAACCAAATACCCTTTGACAGTCACTCAAAATACCCAGCAAAGGGCTCAGAGACACACAATGTCACTCACATCACAAATGCTTTGGGATAAAAGCCTAATGCAGCCTGTGTGATTTAAGTGACTGAGCCTTAACCTCACCCATGTGCTTAACTAAGATGTTTCCATACACACAGAGTCACAGCAGCTACGGTACAGAAGAGAACTTGATCATAACTTTACTTCTTGAAGTAGACGTTATCCTCTTCCCAAAACCAGGTGTAGGTCAGGTTGCCAGGATACGCCTCCGCTTGGCAGGTGAAGAGTGCGTTCTGGGATATGTTTACGGTGACGTTTTCTGGTGGTGACACGATGTATGGAGGCCCTAAGAGAAACAGAAACATGTGTTTTAACAGCTGTAAAAGCTCCGTCTAAAAATCTTTTTTCATGACACCTTTACCACGTTCTTCTGCATAGGTTTGTCTCCAATAAAGTGAAATAAAGACAATTTTATTCACATTGTTATGGACAACAATAATGCCCAAAACCCAATACATACACATTTTTACACACAACATAAAAAATGTAAGAGATGAATACATTAAATAAAAAATGAACTCATGGTCATATAAAAAGAAGAAAAACTATGCAGCACATTGTTTGTTATACTAGATTTCTGGGCAATGGATCCTCTGTTGATTGTTTTCTAAAAACCACTTCAGTCTTGACATAAACTTCAGACAGGAGTCACCCAAGTGATTAGAGTTTTTTGCTTCTTTCCACAGCTGTTGTTAAATCATTATTGCTAAATATTCACAAGCAATGAGTATCACCTTGGATTTACCTCATCACTGCCTGAACTTTGATTGAAAACATCCAAAAAATCTCCAACAAATGATGGCGAAACAATAATTTAAACAAATATACACTGCAATAACATTAGTTTTTATGATACAGACAACAAGTAATGATCAGGAACATTTTAATTCATGGTAAAACTCGAGTTTTAGATTTAGATTTGAAGAGTACTGCAGGGTATATGGTGATCAACCTACTCTTTTAAATCATGTTTATATATCTTTTTTCATTGAGTCTCTTTAATATTTTATTTTAACGTCTTTTATATGTTCGCACTTTGGATTTCCTTGTTGTTGAAAGGTGCTTTAGTCAGGTTCACTTTAAGTACAACTTATTTTTCACCAACATATCTAAACTTAAAATGTGTTCAACCAAACAGCAGAGAAAACCATGGGATGAAAAGTATCTTTAAATCATAAAAGCCTATTAAACTATATGCAGGACTCCACTGTTTCCACTTTGAGGATGTCAACTTTTTTTGTGAGTGAGTGAGAAAGAGCACACACTATGTATTATTTACAATATATCATCGCAGTCTGATGTAAAATACAGTGAGCAGCCAGCTATCATAACCTTAATAGTAGTCAGTGTTGAAGCTTAGCGTGCTTCACATTGTAACCTTTTCATCCCCCGAGGAGCTCTAGGTTTGCTCTCAACTCTCAATAAAACAGCAGAAGCCATGAAAGGTAAGCTGTCTTTTATGAGTAGGCCCAGATACAAGCCTCCTGGTTATTTTCCTCTCAGCGAGCACAGCTTTATACATCACATGGGACTGCTGACGGCACCATGCAGGCGTCTCACATAACAATTAAAAACAGATCACCGAGTGAGAATCATGACTCCTCCTTGCTCTGGGTATAAGTCCTAATCATATCTTCCGTTTTATTTCACCGCACTTTTCATGCCAACATTCAACCGAACTCAACATCAGGAAAAGCATTTTATTTTTGTGGTTGCACCTCACACCAGATTCCTGTTGTGTTACTCAAGTGTTTCACACATTAAGACGGTTTTATGAGGGAAAAGATGAAGCTGTTCCTGTGCATGTGGAGTGGTGTAACACATTTGATGCTGCTGTGGCTATGACTCAAACTTCAGCATCACACATGGCAGGTGAGAACAGGTGAGAATTCAAGTCTTATTCCACAAACTACATGCCTCAGTGTCCAAAACAAGGAACCCTGGTACATTTATTTTGGGATTGTCCAGCACTACATTTATTCTGGTCTCATATTTTCAGTCTGTTTTCCAGGGCATATAAACAAATTATACTTTCCCACAGAAACTAGGTTATTTTTGCATGATGTGAACATTATTAGCCAAAAGAAATAAAAAATGTTTTCAGGGACTGGAAGATGACAATTTCACTTTGTTTCCAAAGTTGGAAAAAATCTGATTCAATAAATCTAAATGTCTGCTCATAATCCTGGGCATTTCTTCGACAAAACCCTGAGACGTAAAAAAAAACCAGCCCTTTTTTTTTTCACTTTGTGACAATGCATTTTTCAGATAATCCAATGGATTTAAACTGTTGATTTAGCTCAAACCATGAAGGTAAAATTAATCCTGAAAAATTCAAAATCTCCACAACTAGAAATACAATGGAAAGCAATGATTCTATTATAAACTGTCTCTTTTATTTACAGGGGGTGGAAAAGAATGACTACAGTGCCAATTAAAATTCATTAATGCTTCTGACACAATAAATCTTATAGTACGATATTGATATAAAGGCTCCAGTGGTGCATGTGGGTCAGCCATGACGTAGCTGGCTGCTATCTTGCTTTCAAACAAATGAAATTAATGGATATTATATAATGACATACACCATAATACAGTCAATTATCTGCAAAATTGTTTAAGAATTGTTTTATGGTTCTTTATCACACTGAAGAAAAAAAATTCAAAATATAATATGAAAATTAGATTAAACAATCCATTGATTGATCAACTGAAAATTAATCACTTCAGTCACTTTTCAAGTCAAAATGCAAAAAGTAATATGAGGAGTTTCTGCTTTTTTTTTGATACTTTGTTGTTATCATTGGTTTTCAAGGCCTCTGAGAAGTTGTGAACGGCAGTTTTTCACTATTTCTATTTTATGAGAAATGCATGGATAAAACAACAAAGCATTTAATCAAGTAAATACTTGGCAGATTACTCAACAGTGAAAATAAACCTTAGCTGCACCCCTAACAAGAATTGTAAAGGAAATACAATATATCCATAATACAGATATTACCATAGTATTAGAGAAAACAATAATCTGATGTTTTTGAAAATGAAGTAGAAAATCTTTATAATAATAATAATAATAATAATAATGATAAAAGTAGTCATATTTTAAGAATAAAGCTGAAAAATGAAGAGAAGAAAAGTAATTTAGTAGCTGTACACACACATGTAATGGAGTCGACCCAATCCAATCACAATATATGTCACTTAGTTCTCTACACAACCTTTTTTATTCTCTTAATATCACAACTGTATTTTCATAATATTATTACATCTGTTATCTCAAAATAAAAAATAAAAATTCTATCATAAAATCACTTAATTCTTGTAATATTAAAACTTCAAACTCATGAGCAGTGGCCTTAATCCTACATAGCACCATAACAGTATCTGTTAAATTTATCATTTTATTTATTACACATCATTTCACCCAAAACCTAATGTGAACAAACAAGTTTGTTCAGAATATAGTTTGCTTTAGATTGTGCAGTAGCTGAACAGACAAGTCTTATAATCCTGCCTTCATATGATGGAGGCATAATTGACCACAGATTTCACCTCCAGTGCTGCAGTGTACTACAGTGGTTACACTCTTCACTAGGTTACAACACAATGTGTGTTTGCAGTGTGTGCAAATACGTTTAGTCTGCAAGGAAGAAAGAGAGGAGTAATTCCTTTTGCTCTGTTTCCACCTACAGAAGTCAAGGAGTAAAATAGACCTTACGCTACCTCTACCATAAAAGCAAGATGCTCAGTTGCTTGTTAAATACACACGGTTAACTCCCTCCAGCTCTGCTGTATCGGGAGACTGAGAGAACTGGAGGCTGGTATCACAAGCATCTATCTGATCTGTGTCTAGCAGAGAGTCTAGTTAATGGAGCGGAGAGAGACAGTGACGTTCTCACAGACAGATCCTGTTGTACACACATGGCTGTGCACAAGAGCACGCACACATGAACACACAGAGGCCCCAGACTGAGCTATTGACTGACTGATACAGACCCAGAAGGTGTGTTACCTACATCAATACACCACAGAGTTGCATGACTTTGCTTTAAAATGCTACAACAGTGAATGCCTTTAAGTACAAATAATGAAATGTAAGAGATGCAAATGCAATATTAGGCTGCAGGTAGAGAGCATATATATACTGTGTATATATATATATTTTTTTTATTTCAAAATCCTGTGATTCATGGAAATGCATTTACGAACAGCTCATTTGATGGATAGAGTACCTTGAACCAACAGACGGGTAGTGTGGAGCACTTCTCCCTGGTCACTGTAGGCTCGGCATGTGTACGCCCCTCTGTCATCTCTGGTGATGCCAAGGATGGTTAGACTGCCATCATGTACCTGTGGTTACATGAGCAAGAGATACAGATTCACATCCAACCTCCAGCACAAAACAGTTGAAATAACATGATAAACACGAGCGCTGCAGGGCATGTTTCAGGCTGTAAATGACAGTTGAGGGTGGGTGGTATTCAGATTACAATTCAACAATTTATTGATTCATCAATTTGGTGATTGAGAGAAAATTAATCAGCAACAATTTTGGTAATCTAAGCAAAAATGTCCAAATTCATTGGTTTCTGCTCCTCAAATGTGAATTCTCTAAGATAGTAAAGTGAAGCGTTGGTCAGGCATGACAAGAAATATGAAGACATCATAGTAAAAAATGGCCATTTTTCACTATTTTCTACATTTTGTAGGCTAGAATATTTCATTAATTGACAAAATAACAGGGAGATTAATCAATACTGAAAATTATCATTAGTTGTAGCTATAACTCGTCCTGGTAATACCACACTTTAAAAATACTCCCAGATGAAAAGTGCATCAGTATTATTATCAAAAGTAAAAGTACTCAATGCAGTAAAAAAAACATTATATCATCATTAGATTATTTTTCCTGATGTTTTTAATGTGTAAGAATGTGATGTAGTTGGTTCAGGACGACCCAATTTTTGCAACTAATGGTTATTTTTATTATCTAATAATCAGCTAATAATTTCCTCTTGATTAACTGATTAATTGTTTACTGTGTCAAATGTCAGGAAATAGTGAAAAATGCTCCTCACAGTGTTTAACAGCCCAAAGTAACTATTGTTTTTTTGTGAAGCAGCAAATCCTCACATTTAAGAAGGAAGAATTACAAATTTTCCAAAGAATTATAAATGAATTAAAATAACCAAAATAGTTCCTGATGATTTTTCTGTTGCTCAAACAGTTGATTCATTTATTTAATGCTTCAGGTCTAAATTTACACACTGTTTAACATCATATGAGTACATGTTGTATCCTAATCTATAATCTAACTGTGACAAATGCAGCAGAGCAGAAATACTGAATGACATGAAGTGAAAATAAAGATATAGACAGAAGATATACAACGCCCCAAGTCATGAATGTGTCATGTTTTAATTAACTCCAGGTCTGATTCCTGCATGTGGTAACCTTGGAAACGTCCAACTCTATGTCGCTGCGCGTCCCCGTCTCCAGCCACTGATGAGAACCAATAAGTGGTGAAGAAACACATTAACCAAACCTAATAGAAATACCCTCATAAATTATGCAACAGGTTGCAAGAGGCTCTGTCCATTCAAGTCACACACAGCTGTAGTCTGTCCATTCATGCAGCTGAGGGGGAATCTGCCATGCCTGCAGAATTATTCCCATTCATCTGTCTCTAAAATGTTTTACAGCCAAGAGATGGTACTAGTAGATCAACCCGAGCATCATTTAACTTGTGTCAGTCTGTTGGCAAACTGTATCATCCTCACTCAGACTGTCTATCACAAGATAACACTTTGTGTATCACTGCTGCAACATGCAACACGTGTGAGAGCTCAGTGTAAACTAAACACTGATGTTTTGTGAAGCATCAATTCCAGGCTTGGAAAGCCATTTGCATTGATTAAAAAAGTTGGAAGAGATTAAATCAACTAGAAATTGATTAAATTGTCTTTATTTTAATCACACACTTGCACTGAATCCTGTCTGGCTGATTTGGCATATTTTCTGTTCCCGTTCAGCCTCCTTCACGTACCAGTGACTTTTACTGATCTGCTGTTTGTTATGCCTAAAAATAAATGCCATTCTTGGTGAGATAGTCTCACTGAGATATCACTGACTCTTTTTTATAGAATTCATAGATGTTGAGCTGTAAAGGTTCAGACAGAGAGTGAGGCTAATTTTTGCCTTGTGTCATTTGATGAATTTGAAAGTGGAGTTTTTATGGTGAATTCCTGCCACACACAGTGGACAGCAGTGGACGTTCACCCTCATTTAATTTCATGATCATGATCAAATCACTTTGCAAGGCATCGTGGGATTCCAGGTGATATGGGGTGGAGAGGGGGTGGGGCCAAAAGTTGAAAAATGTCATCTTTATATTATGCAAATGAGTGTGAAATTCATCTGGCACAAAGAGTTTTGCCAGCAAAAAAAAGCAATGCAGAGCTGGGCCAATAGGTTTGTGGATACGCATCTGTAGAGATGATAGTTATTACTGTACTTTCTGGGATTTCATTTTCTATGACTCTGGCCTCCAAGATTACAGATAACAAAAAAATACAAGTGCTTGGCGCAATGTCACATGAACTGTGGGAGAAAGTGCAGGTTCCTCATTGACACAATGTTTGCTAATGAGCAAGTTACTCCTGTCCAGCCAGTCTACTGAACTATACCAATTGCACAGAAGTTAGCTGTGAACTAGCTAGCAATGGACGCACCGACTGTGAGTATGTGAGTGTACAAGTGTGTTTCTGTTCACCAGAACCTCTTTTTCTCTCTGTTATTTCCCTCCGGTCTCCTCTCGTCTCCGTACGTTTATGAAGCAGACTGAGCAAATTTTCAACTCGGACGATTTTGCATCTAATCGCACCTTTTCATCAGCTCTGTACACAGTCGTGCCTCCTTTAAAATTTGCCTCGCGTTCTGCCCAAACACAGTCTTATGCTACTTTCTTGTGTTGCACTGACTCCATCAAATTCAAATCAAACACAGACAACACATGAAGTCCTGACTGTAGCAGACTACCAAGACAGTAAAATCAACAGGGTCTGATAATATGTAAAGGTCATCAGTCCGTTCCGATACTTTCTGTGCCATAGCTGAACCCAATCTGAGGTGAGGGAGAGAAAATTAAAGAAAAAGGATGAGGAGGAGCAGGAGGAAGAGGAGGGGGAAGTCTGCAGTAGACAGAAACAGAAACAGAAGATAGGTGAGGCATGAGATGAAAGCAGAATCTCAATTTCTGTCACACGCACTTCACCGACACATCCGAACAGACCAACATTGGGTTCTGAAACAGCAGGAGAACGCCGTTGTTTTCCTGCTTGCATTTTTTTATTTGTGATTTGAGTGCACTTTGGAGAACACCCCTATAATCCCACCTAGCTTTCTGTCCCGTCTCCTGCACAACTTCTTTATTTAATATCGCTGCTTTTTAGCTGTGGCTCTCTGCATGCTAAAACGAAACAAAAAAAAAAAGTAATGAAGTAAAGAGAGGAGGAGGATGAGGATTCCTCCTCACATTCCCCCCTTTCTCCATGACTGTCACATTCCCCCCTTTCTCCATGACGTCTCCATGGATCTGAGCATGCGGGTGAGCAAATAGACCCTCATGCTCGCTCACACAAACACACAGCTCTCTTCTCACCACAGGAAGGAGCTTTCCCAAGTCTTTGCTAGAACATAAACCGAGAACTGGAAAATGGATGAGGAAAGCTGATAAATGCACTGCTTCTTTATATTTCTTAGTATATAATGATGAAGCTAGTGAAGCATGGCATTTGGCTCTCACTAGCGATTTTCATTTTTAGTGTAACACTCATATTAGGACTAATGTAATATTGATGCAGGAGAGGGAGATTAATAATGCATCAGAATGTTGTCTAATCATTTACTGAGGGGATGGTGTTGAAAAGATGCGACTGGAGCGAGAGATCGTGGAGAAAAAAGGATAAAATAGAAAAAAAAAAAAGGGAATAGGCCCTTAAAAGACGCTCCTGTATGCTCCTGTCACTTCCTGTACACTGTATCGCACGAGGCAGCTGTGAAGAGTTGATAGCGCCTGCAGCAGACTGCCACATCAGTGACATGGGAGAATGTGAAGGCATGCAGAAAAGGAAGGAGGCATCCACCTTTCAAAAAGTTCCAAAAACAATTACGAGCAGTGTAAAAAAACAAACAAACGCCCTTTTAATGCTCTTGTACTCTCAATATGTTCAAAGCATTCCTGTTGTTTTCGTAATGAGCTGCTGTGATTTCAGTTTGTGCTTACTTTGACCCCCCTCTTCTACTTCTAATACCTACTTTTGCAAGACTGACTCCTGACAATTCCCAGGCGTGAATTTGTTGCATTCAGCTGTCAGCTACACGTGTAGGTGGCGGGAGCGCTTGCGATGGTATCTGGAGCGCAAGGGAGCATGAGCTTCTCCACTTGAGAGAAACTGACATTTGCACCTTTTACTCAAGATGCAACATCCTGTGGCTGCAGTGCATCACCGTCTGTCGAAACTTGATTCTGTGTTTCTGAGTCATCTGTAATGGAACGGCGTGTGAAAACGTGTTTGATTCTGCGCGACTAACACCACCAACCTGATGTTTATTGTTGATGGTTTATGTAGCTGAGACTTTTTTTCCACTGCTATCAAACCACACTGTGGCTGTGCCAGAAATATCTTGTCATGACATCAGGCTGTCTACATTTGGGAGTTTATCCACGGGACTAAAAATCAGGCATCACCAGACAACAAAGAGAGCTCAGAAATGTGAGGTTCGTTGCCAGTAGCTGTTCTTAACATTGCTGAAGTGATTCAACGTGTATTTTTATTCTTACTAAAGACATTACAGAGAAGCAGGAAGAGTCTGAGTGACAGTATCGTTGGTGATGATCACAGATTGTGGTTCTAATTAACGAAACGTAAACTTTGAACTTGTTGCATGCCAAAAACATGCAGGAATCAATTTACGTACAATATCTGTGACGCAGTGTCTCAAATGGAAAACAAAACATATCATTCTTCGATCATCAACTTAAGTCTCAGCACACATTTTAAAGACCCATTGAAGGAGGTTTTATTACAAAAAACTGGACATTTCTGCTGCACAGAAACATAATAAACTGATATTTGCCTGAGTGAGATACAGCCCATTACATACTTTCAGTACAGATGGACTCATTGGATGACACCATCTGTGCAAAAGCCCTGCTTCTATTTTTGTACACAGTCATAAATCAGAATCATGGCCATTGTGTTTTGTCTTACTGAATATTTTGCGTTGGTTGCGAGCTCCTCCCCTTCCCTCAGCCAGCTGATCATTGGTTTTGGATTTCCCTGGGCAGAGCAGCTAAGCAGAGTGCTTCCCCCTTCCTTCGCCTCCACATATTGTGGCGGCGTCGCTGTAAATGAAGGTGGAGCTGTGGAGAAAATGACAGAGAAACAGTCGTCATTACAACAGTAAAGTAATAAAAATTTGAATGGAAACACGTCATGGAAAAATGTCCCGTCAGATCTCACATTCTTTCCCAAATCTAGATTATGATTCTGTTTTCATACATCTGATATTTAACCACCTCAGCATCCTCAAGTATTCCTTGTGTTTATTGTTAATTAGCAAATTTTAGCATGCTAACACCCTGAACCTGCTAAAAATCAGCATGTTAGCACTGTGAGTATGCTTGCATGCTGATGTTAGCACTTAGTTCAAAGCACCATTAGTACGGCCTCACAGAGTTGCTAGCATGGCTGTGTAAAGTGCAACTCATAACGCAGTCTAAAACTGAAGTCCTGCAAAAATTCTTCCCTAATGAAGGTCGAAATCTTCAGTTTGTGTTGAAAATGTGTCAGAAAGATGTTGATACAGCAGCTTTATTGGTCATTTAGAAGGCTGCAGTTTATGGTGCTGTTGAATTGTGGTTATTTATTTAGTTAGAGCCCCATTAGCCACTGTGTTGTAACAGTAGCTACTCTTCCTTGTGTTGTGTTATACTGAGCGGTCCACCCCATTTGTATCAATGAAGTTGATGCATCACAAACTTTATCCTCCTATCCATCCCCTACATGTATCTAAGGGAAACTGGATAGGAAGAACAATACTCTTGGACAAAAGTAGACAAGATACGGGGTAATGTGGTTGCCACAGCTTTTATGTACTAGTTGGACAGTGGACATTTACCAGGGTTGGTGACAATCTGCCATTTATTCTTCAAAACCAAAAGAAACCACTTAGTGACATCACTTCATTTCCACCTGATGTTTCTGAGCTTCACTAACTGCCACAGGGGAGCTCTTCACCACCTACTGCAGGCCAGTAAACTGTAGTTTCCTCAACCAGCTGCTTTCACCGCTTCAACATAATATTTTGATTATGAATAGTGGCACTGTGTTTAGTTAAAGAGAAAAAAAGGTGCTGCTATTACAAGTGGGTCACCGCTTGCCGCTGGGAGTGTTGCCATGCTTCAGACTGCATTCAAACACCTGGTATGGAGTAAACAAATCGCCCAATTAGCACATTTAGACATCTGCCTGTCCATACTACTCTCACTCCCTAGCACTCATTACATTATATGATACAGTAGATTAATGGAGATCCTAATAAAATGCATGACTGCTTTATGCATCCCCTGCTAATGTAGTTGATGGGTCATGGGCTGACGTAAACACATCCTGATGCATCATTTTAGTTATTAAGACGCAACCATGTGCAGTTGCATCACTATGAGTTTGGACTTTTATCTTAAGGTAAACTTTACTGATTCTCATTGGGAGATTTACATTGCAGCTAAGTACATTTACTTGTACTTAAGTATTTCCATTTGATGCTACTTGATATTTCTACTCCACTAGAATTCAGAGTGAAATATTATACCTTTTATCCCACTATTCCAATACCTGAACTTGAACTACCTACCAGTAAAATGCTGCTTACAAAATGCTGTATCAATGTTATGAATTTTTTTTTTTTATTCTAATCATTTTTGGTGTATTTTGTATGTCTTTATTAGACAGTGAAAGCGGAGACTGAAAGGAAACATGGGAAAGAGAGTATGGTTTTTTAGATTGTGGGATTGGTACTTTTACTCAGTGGTGGAAGAGGTGCACAGATCTTTTCCTTAAGTAAAGGTGGCACTACGACAGTGTAGAAATACTTTGTTATTGCATTTCACTTAAGTAAAAGTAGATTGGTATTAGCATAAACAAATAATAAAGTTACTAAAAGTACTTCTTATACAAAATGGCCCATTGAAAAATAATTTATATTATGTTATATTATGTTATTATAATTTCTGATACATTAATGTTGCATTTGCACTTTAATGTTGCTGCTGGTAAAGACAGGGCTCATTTTAATTACTTTATATAATGCTAAGTAGCTTGTAAATTTAGTCTTATCTTGTTTTAATCCATAACAATACATTGTAATTTATTGCTGATTATTTTGTGTTATTAATCTGCATCTGCAATCTGTAACCTGTAACTAAAGCTGTCAAATAAATGTAGTAGTGTAAAAAGTATAAAGCAGCGGAAAATGGAAATACTCAAGTACAAGTCCCCAAAACTGTACTTAAGTACATCACTTGAGTAAATGTACTTAGTTACTTTCCACCACTGCTTTTACTCAAGGATCTGAGTACTTTTTCCACCAATGTAAGTGCTGTTTTTAATTCTACTCCTAATTCAGATTTTTCTCAAGGGGATAAGCATGAGTTGACAGGAAATAGGTGGCACACATGGCGGTGACAGCAGCAGGTACATTGGTCAACCTGGGAGTTGTTCCACACCATCAGGTACAGCTCGTCACAGAAGAAGTGTCACTATAGCTGGGAAACCAGGGAGTTGCTCTACAAAAAAAGTAAGATGAGCATGAAATTCTCGCCCTACTTACTGCAGCTCTTCATCAATTATATACATTAAAAGATGCTTGAAGATCCAGCACTCCCACTGTTCTTCTCTGCAGACCACACAGCACAACCAGCAGATGGCCTGGATGCTAAGACGCAGGGTTTGGTCTGTTCTTTGAAGGTTTACATTCGCTCTTATTTACTCACTAACTCGAGAAGTGTCCGCATCGTTTTATTCCCTCACTTGGTCGCTCTTTTCTTGTCTCTGCTCCTAAGAGAACACGGCTACATACAGTACACTTTTTTCATTGATTTCTCATCATGAACCTCAAAACACTTCAGTGTTAACTGTTACAAAGGGAAGGAAGAGACTGACAAAGACTTTCCTTCCTCCTCTTATGTCAGTATACTCAAGGTACTCACTTCCTCACCACCACACTACCATCCTCCCTTTCCTTTAATGGCGGGAACAGGCTACATGATACTCTTGTCGTTTGAGCTGGTCACATTAGGTGAACATAGTGTCATAATGTCTTGTTTGTTTGGCTGATGTGAGGTGGCCATGTTTGTTTTGTTCTCAGGCACTTCTCTACTGGTTAAATGCCAGGTCAGATAAGCATTCAGAATTTTTCCCAGTCGTAATTACAACTTAGATGTTGATGTGGATGGAATTTACAAGTCAGAAACATAACATCACTATGACGTGTTAGTGGCAATAAGCTGTGCTATTTACTATTTAGTGCACTATATTTGTTGAGTTGAACACCTGAATACTGAGTATAAAATAAATGCTTTATAAAGTTCCTACAATGAAACAAAAAGTAGTGCCGATAGTGTGTGCACTACTACTGCTTGATAACAATCCCACAATATAATGTGCCGTATTTTTGAAGACGCAACACTAGTGTCTAAAATGTGCAAATTATACAGTAGGCAATTACTGAATATAGCTAATAGTGAATGAGCAAAGAAGGGAGTGATTTTGGCTTTAGTGTGCAGAGGGTGATGTTGCACCCACACAGGGTGTGTCAGTGCAGCATCCCATCACTGTCAGGTGTTGTTACAGGTATAATAGTGCTTGAAACTTTCAACAAGGGATAGCGGTGAGGCACTACTTTTCAGCCTGGTGTTAAATTTACTCTTTAATTTGGTATAATGTCCCTGTGCTGAGGGTTACAGGTTATCTAAAATGAAACAAGCACTCTTTGCTGCTCTGGGCCAACGTCAAAGAACATGTGACAGAGGAATAGAAAACCCCAAAAAAAGTTCTTGAGTGATGTTTTTTTTTTTATCAGGCACTTGACCATTTTTATTCACCATACCGCACCTCCTTCAGGTTGGGCTATCACTGGGCTGATATTGTGTAGTGTGATCCTGGCATTACACTAATGAGGAAAAATACTAAATTCTGTTTGTTTAATTAAAAAAAAAGAATTTAGTATTTTTATCCATTAGTGTAATGCCAGGATCACAAAAAAAATTGTCCACTTGCGTTCACACCCCACACATGAGTTCCTAATGGGATGACATTTCAGTCCATGTGAGCATGCAAGCATTATTCATATTTACACCTTGGGGTCCCATATGGTGGTGAGGATGATTGTTCACATGGACTCCACTTGGTGCCACATTGGGCCCATTAGTGACTGACAAGGACAGACACACATGGGGAATATACGGGCCTGTTGGACAAACGAGCTGGCATTTGGTCCCCAACTGGGTCAACCAAATGGGACCTAAATGCCAGGCCATCGCTAACTCAGTGACACAGTGGCAGGGTCTAATTTTTTATGTTTCAGGGTAGATGCTTAACAGTTTGAGGGTATACTTTTTGATCTCTGAAAAGGGTGCTGGTGCTTGAAAAGTAAAGAGAAGAAGGAAGAGCAGGGGAGACAAGACTAAAGAGGAGAGGAGGAGATGGAGGGAGGGCAGAGACAGAGAGAGAGAGAGAAAGAGAGAGTAGCCTTAGTGTCTTTTTCGGGCACAAGGCCTTGCCATCTGACACCTGCCACTGAGTGGGCATGAATTCCCTGTCCGCTTGGCAGGAAGTGAAGGCCAGCAAACAGGAACTCAAAGGAAGAGTGTATGCAAATACCAACGGCCAAAGGAAATGGGTGCCCTTAGTGTCTGTGTGGAGGCCAGACGAAAATGGCACCTGCTTCCCTCACAGACAGCCATTTAGAGGACAACAGTAGCATAAAGTCTTCATATGAAATGAATTCCCCTGTTGGATGTCTAGACGCTGAAACAGCTGCTGCTTTTGATATTTCCATGAATGTCTGTCTAATAACAAGGCCCCCCCCCCAAAAAAATAAAAATAAATAAAAATAAAAATATTTGTACCAGTTAAACTACAAGTGTACATGAATGGTGCTGCATCTCTTTAGCTCCACACGTTAAGTACATGAGGTCATGTAAAATGCCATAATTTAAAATGCCAAATATTATACGACATTCAGGGATATTATTAGTTCTGCTACAGCCTGCAGAGCTCAGTTTCTGTTGAAAGGTCTGACAGGAGTGGAGAGCAGCAGAAGACGGAGGGAGGGAGGGAGGGAGGGAGGGAGGGGTTGAAGTTAAGAGTGAATACTGATGAGTTTAGCTACAGAGATGCAGTATGCCTACACAACAAGACATTCATACACACACACACACACACACACACACACACAGGCCCACGCCCACAGACGTTCACATGCTCCAAACATCACGAGAGTGTGCAGGTGACACTCGGTGGCAGATTACGACCTATTCACTCTTCAACTACAACTTCAACCAGCAGAGAGAAATCTCATTTAGGCACATACAAACACACACAATGAGACGCTGGCATGTCAATGTTGATGTAATGCGCTATACACAGAACAAAAGTGCAGAAAGTAATTTGCAGTGCGTGATGTACAAACGCACGCCGACACACAAAAGAAAACATTATGTTCTGCATTGATAATAACCATTTATACAGATCAGCATTTTTTATTCCAAAGTGATTATGCGGTGCAATGGACTTTATAAATGGTTCTTTACACAGTATTTTGCATACAGCGTGTTGTAATCATTATTCAAATATGAGAATTGCATCCATTGTAAAACATATGCATGATCAAATCGAATATGCATGAGTTTCACACAGCGCTCATAAGTTCACAGACCAAAAATATACATGTGAATGAGCTTGACAGGACTTTGCTCGCAAAGTCTCTCTCTAACAACACAGAGGATTACAGCTTTCTGAAGTTAGAAACCTGTGAAGCTTTAACACAAGAAAATCACCACTTTTGGCCTGAACTTTTCTTTCTTAAATGCCTGTTTAAAAAAATCATTAAACATACTACAATACATGAATCTGCTGCATTTACTTTACTGCATCATGCATCTGCAAACAGCAAGCATTTATTCAATTACATCTACCGCAAAACATATGAAGCAGCTTAATACAATATCTGTCTAAAACGCATTCCTCATATGAAACAGATACAGGGCTTAAAGAATAAAACACAAAGGCATCAGTGTCTCTGTAGTCTCTGGTGCTCTGCAACAATGTGAAGAAACACTTCACGCAGGATTCTCTAAGCCACTGGGGCATTCCTGGGAAATGCAAAGGTGCAGATTTTTTTTCCGCCTGGTCATCACTTTGATAGCTCTCAGACTATCACAGACGATCCCTGCCGGAACCGCCTTAAACAGGCCATAATCAATCCTCTTCTAACCAGCCTCTCAGCCCGTTTTACCCGAGGCCTTTTTCTAAAAACAGCTGCAGGAACGATCCACATCACTGTCTAACAATCCCTCATTCAAAAACGCCTGATAAAAACTTCCCAAACCAAACTCTAGTCTCTTTGGTTTCCTTCATTTTCTTTTAAAACGGAGTGCATCAGTGAATGTGTCACTGCAGTCAAAGTCCAGAGGGTCATTCCTTTCACTTTCTATGTCCAGCACAGGGGTGTATGTTTTAAGGTATTTGTAAATGTAAATATTCAGAGCAAAGGGGAGTAAAATAATTCATTAAATACATATTTTTTCCATATAAAAAATAGTGAAAAATCAAAATTTCCCATTTATTTGTAGTGGGATTGAATTTACAGTAATGTGACAGAGAAAAAAAAGCAAATCCTCACATTTAAGAAGCTACAACTAGAATATGTTTTTCTTGAAAATGCAAATCATTTTCGGTCAGTCCACTGATCAGTTAATCAACTGATTGTTTCCTCTTTAATTGTTTGACATAAAACTTTCAAGAAGTGTTACCATGAAAATCTAAGTTACAACTGCAAACTCAAACCAAAGCGGGAATGAGAAATACAGATTAAAAACAAATCACTATGTACAGTAAAAAATATAAATGGCATGTCATTATAACTTTCAAAAGTACAAAAAGTACAAGAAAATTAATGTAAATGCAAAAGTTTCTATTAAATTATTATAATTCCTCCGTCTCCACACAAAAAAATATCCGAAACTTAACTAAAGAATTAATATAAAAACTGTAAACGACTGATTTATGCAGCCTCACAATAAACCCTCAGAGCCCTTTACTGAAGAGCTCCACACTGAATGGCTGAATATATGATTAACACCAGACTACAAATGCCTGTCCTTGAGAACAAATACAAGATGACTGAATCTGGAGCTTAAATGAGTGACGCATTTTTGTTTTTCTTTCACAACCACAAACACACAGGTCACGGATCAGGCTGTATGATCAGGTGACTCACCATTGACTGTGAGGTGCACCCAGCTGCCGTTGTGGAAGGTGTCGTACTGTTGCTCCAGCATCAGGACCCTGCACTCATACCAGCCCTGGTCCTCGGAGCGCACCGGGTCAATCTGCAGGGAGGCCTTCCCATGCAGAGAGGCTCTACCTGCAGACAGAGGGAAAGAAGAACAACAAAATTAACCTCTTCACTGCTATATACATTTATCTTTTTCTGCCTTTCAAGACAAATGCGTGCTCTTTTCCAGCCATGGAATAGCAGTTGGGGGCTAAGTGCTTGACTTTAACCTTTTTTTTTTTTTTTTTACAGCATGAAACACATTTATGAAGGACTGGGTTGGCCTTTCGCATCAACTGTAGCCTACAAGTCATGGTGTAGTATTCTTGAGCAGGATCCAGAAGGTCAAAAATAATGCTTTGTCTTTTAAAGAGATAAAAAGATCATATATTCTTGCTGTGAGGAGTCCAGTGAGTTATTAGGATTAAGTGCAACATTACAGAAATCTTCTGTTGTTCTTTTCTCTGCAACGGCTCCATAAATTCAGACTTTAACTACTAGTTATTCAAATAAGCACAAGCACAAGCCTATTTTGACGCACAAAGTCCAAATCGGGTGTGAAAAACAAATGCTTTGTAGCGACTTATTCCTACTCAGGGAGTACAACAGTCTTGAGTTTGTCCAAACACTGGATGGAAGGCAGGAAAACACCCTGGACCGGTGTCCAGTCTCTCCCAAAGATAACAGAGACAGACAATCCCTAACACTTACTGTGCATTCATATCTTCAGGCAATTTAGAGCCTTCAATCAACCGTGACTTACAAGTCTTTGGAGTGTTGAGGAAACACAAATAGATATAGAAACACATGCAGACTCTAGATACCCCCCAAAACTCCAAAAAAGGCTTTATTAGCAAAAAAGGTATGTTTGTGGATTTAAAAGATTAGTTTTGACATTTTGGGGGATACCCTTATTTGCGTTCTCACCGGAAGTTAGATAAGAAAATCAATAGCACTCTCACATCTGTTAAATATGAAGTTATAGTCAACAAGAGGTTAGGTTAGCTTTAGCAATTAAACTCCAGTTTAAATATATCTATGGAGTTATTTAGTGAGCTTCAGAGGTGCTTGTAGGGATGGATGGAGACAGGCTAACTGTTTGCTTCACTGGGGTAACTGGCTGCAAGCTGTAGCCTCATATCTTAGGGACAGACTTCCTGTCTGATATCGATTTTCTCATCTAACGCTCAACAAATAATCACTATAAACTGTCACAATATTTAACCATAAATGTACAACCATCTGGCTTAAACTATTAGGATTTATGCATGAAACTACCCGGGAGCCATACCTTCATCTGAATTAAAATTAAGTATTCGGAGCCAGTGTGGAAAAAGTCCATCCCTCTACTTCACAGGAATCATCTATTTCTAATAAAACGTCTCCATCCACGCCTCTTTTTTTCTTCAAGGCTGAGGATAAATTGGAATTCTAAAAGAAGGAAATCACAAGGGATGAGAGAAGTTCAGGAAACCAGGCATGGTGAAATCTTCAGCTGCTAAGCTGTCTGTCTTCAAGCCTCCAGCCCGCTGCTCACATGGCTGCCTCTGACAGCCCAACAGACTAAAACACTCGCTTCTGCTCTGTCTGACGAGTGTTCTCAGATGAAGCATTTTTCAAAACTTTGATGTGTAGATGTACTGTAAGCACTGTTTCCTCTTACTTCAAAGTGAGTGTCAGGCAAATATATTGATGTTGAGGGTGGGCTGAATTGCTCTACTAGCACTGTATATAAATGTGAGAGATAGATACCCCAACCCTGGGACTGCTGCCATAGTTTGGGTAGAAAACTGACGTTTTTTTGTTAGCAGAAAATCAATACAGCAAAGAGGAAGAGAGAGGAGTGGCGACTGCAGTCTTGCAGCAAAAAGGTAGCTTGTCTTTAAAAAGTCAGGTCTATTCTTGCCTGGGGATTGAAGTGCTGAGTGGGGCGGGTGGCGGCGTGAAGGGTAGGGATCAGGCTCAGCTCCCATTTGTCAAGGAGTGAGATGGTGCTGCTGTAAACAGAGTTAACGGCACTGTATCCACGTCAGGACCGTCCCCCTGGGCATACACCACTTACACAGTACAGGGTTCTGTCTACTGTGAAAACAGAGGAGCTAACACCTTGTTCAGATCACATCACAAGCTTTGTCAGATAGGAAAGCTTTGGAAAGAAAATACTAAAATCCAAAGTGACAAAGTTGGCAGACACAGTGTGGCACACTAGGAAACAACTTTCAATCGCAAAGAGCAACAATCAAAAGAGGAAAAGATAAAGCTGAAGGCCAAAGTTCATGCATATGCTTTGGTTTAAGTAGCACTGTTAGAAATACAATATGAGCACTAAAGCTCAGTAAGTCAGTACGTTCACAGATCCAATCAAACCAGACAAACAGGCTAAATTTGGTGTTATTATTGTATTACATAGTTGCATTTGTTCACAACTGTATGTATATGTATAGCTCCTTTTCAACTGGCCAGATCAACTGAATTAGAGCTGATGTTGGATTTTATTTAGATGTAAGTGCCAGTCATGGTGGTTTTGCAACTGGTTTGTTGAAGCTACTGTCATTCTTGTCGTCAAGTGCAAGATATCATTATCTGTCACAAATTCCCGTTATCTCTGACTTGGAATTTAAACTAGCAGAGTGAATTTTTTTTCCCCCACGTGCCTGGATATAATTACAGTCTAATAATATGCAGCATTTTCCAACTTTGAAAAAAATTGCAGTGCCAAGCTTACCACTAACTGCATGATTAAGTGCTAGCAATTCAATAAAAAAAAAAATAAAAAAAAGGCAAATGACACAAAAAGGTGTGCCTCAATATTTTTTTGTGTTCACATAATGTGCAGGCTAAAGCTAAATCCGGTGCTAAGAGAGATATGATTTAGATTTCCAACAGCCTGTCCCAAATTGCTAGAATCTGACACTAAAATTTCACAAGCTGCACATCTGAATTATTGATTGCGTCTTTGCTTGAGTGGGCACAAAAATAGATGTTTTTAAATGTTGTAATTTCCATATAGCCCCAGGACAAACTGGCAAAATGATCCAGGATAGATTTTAGTCTGCGAGGAGATATGTACCAATTCTCATTTAGCAGTGAATTAGACGGGGAAAAATACACAGTTGTAATGAGAAAATATCTTCTCTTACATTTGAATTACTTATTAAAATTAATATACTGTAGGACTTAATAATTAGTAAGAGAGGAAAATGAACAATGGTCACACTGAAACTGGATGGATTTAGTATCAGTGGAATCAAAAAAGCAATCTGCACCGCTCTGCACTTTGACAATACTGTAAGTACAGTATTCATGGATAATCCGCTCTGTTTTGGTAGCAGCTGTGTGATGGAATAAAAGCACATTTACTCTGTTCACCAATTTTATTCATATTTAGTGATAACAATGACCTATTATGGACACTATTAAATGCCCCAAAGAGCATTTCATGAAGTACAGTCCGGTGTCATTATCACACCGTCACCATGCACATGCAATCCCCAGAATACACTTTAATCTATGTAATGAGACTGGCCATATTTGTGTTGCATCTGTTCACTGGTAATTCCTCAACAGTGGACTTGATGGCACATGGCAGAGGCCCACTACTAGAGCCCCAGTGAGCACAGTGGAGTGTAATGCTGTTTGAAAAGTGCTGTTCGCTCATACCCTGCTGTTAGTCAGGAGGTTAAAGTAAACAGTGAAAGGCTCCAGCAGCTGCAGTATCTACAGTAGCCACTACAAAACAAAAAGAAAGGGTTCCCCAGACTGTGAGTCACTGCCATTAGCCTTGTTTTCACTGATGACCTTGCATGAAAAAGCCCATAGGGAGGAATCTCTGAATTTAATATTATTCACACTGCTTTCACTCTAGTCCTATTAATAAAAAAACAGAAATGTCCATGTTTGGGACACGCACACTAGGGAGATGAATCCTCCAGCTTTTCGACAAGCCGTGTTTTGCCTTCATTTCACAGCATATTGCCAGGGTCAGGCAGGGGTTTTGTACTCGGTAAAGAGGTGGGAACAGCAAGGAATACTTCTGACCTCGTTCTGACAGCTCGCCATCTTGTCACAGACATTGAAGCAACATCAGAAGAACAAATTTCCTGCTGTGAGGAGTCTGAGTGAAGGCAGACATATTGTCTAAGCCAAGACAGGGAGATTTTAAGGTTGTGTGGTGCTGTGATGAATGTGAAGAAAAACACATATTTTGTGTTATCACATATATAGTGTTGTCCTGCTTTTTAAGCTGCTGTAATCAATTTTGATTTTATTCAACTATGGATTAAAGGTGAAAGGGGTCGCCCAACACAAAGAATTCACAAAGAAAGAATTAGGCAACTCTGCCGTTCACTTCAGCTCTGGAGAGCTTTATGGCATCTTTACTCAGCTGCACTTAGTTGCCAGTTTATTGGGAACACCTAATACAACAGTCCAACAATAAATCTCCTGAAAGTTATAATGTTCAATTTTTGTTGAAACTGTTCTACAGAGGTGTTGATTCAACTGTGTTTTTTTTGGACACTGTAGTTTGTGGTGCGGTTGAATTGTATGGCCTTATGCTGACAAGTGTTTCTACTATTTTGTCCGGAGAGGGCTAAATAACAGAAACATGTCTCTGGCAACTGAGTGAATCTGTTCACAGCGTGTTTCCTCTGCCCTCAGGTGGCTAAACAATCACTTATTTTTCAATTTAAAGCCAATAATTTGTTGGTTATAGCTTCATAAAAGTAAAGATTTTCATTTTCTTTATAAAACCCCCTGTTCTATATGGGCAGCACATGGGCTTTTTTTTAATATACTGTATTGACTCTATACTATATGTGCTCTGTGCTGCATCATCACTGGAGTGTGCAGGAAAGCATGTATGTACAATGCAGCCATAAATTGCTGAGACACAGTTATTTCCCTCTATGCACTTACACGCAGTAGTTGTCCCTGCACAGCCCTGAACGCCATGTTAGAACAGAACAAAGTGCAGCTGAAGAACCAGAACGGCCAAGTCTGTCTCTGAGAACTCACAGTGAAGGTCTCTGTGTGCTGTACCATGCCTTATACTTAAAGCCCAAACAGATGAAGTACCATTCTGAGGGAAAACGCTCTGGATCATGTTGAAATTTCGGGTCAATCTTTTCGATGAAATAGGATTGGAGGGTACATGTACAGAGCACTGCAGTATATTTAACTGGTTGTCAGGAATGGCTCTGCCTTCAGCCAGAAGCTCATAATTAGGTCTGCAGTAGTGTAGGGAAACCTGTATACTGTATTATCATAGAAATGTTTACAGAATGATTTTACTTATGCAGGATCTATAATGTTTTCGAAGTAATATATTATTATTACGTCCATCAGCTTGATGGACTCACAAAGGTAATTTTACCATAATTGGAGATGTAGTCTGTAATCTGCTACAGCGATGTATTGGTCATGTTACGCTTGCCTGGTTGACAATACCAATGCCATCGGGTTGTGTCTCTGTTAATGCAATCTGTTTGGTCATTGGTATTTTTACTGAGACAGGGTGAAACAACTTAAGTAACAGAAAAGTATTTGCCCCGTTATCTTTGCTGTTGTTTAAAATAATACGACATTTTGGGAAACACACTTATTTTCTTTTTTGTTGAAAGTTAGATGAGAAGATCAATGCAACAATCGAATTTCAATCTGTCCTGAATTTTTCTTGAAAGCATTAACACTTTTACCTTTAGACGTAGCGAGGCTAGCTGTTTTCTCCCCGTTTCCACCTGAGCT